GATTAAAATATCAAATTAAAGTTGATATTTTCATGACGTTGGTAACCCCAGAAGATGAATTATTTGCTTTTTGGCTACCTCCAAGTTAGTTGTATTTCATATAGTTTTTTCATTTACACATAATTTAGAGAAAATTTATAGACTTTTATACTGTATAAGCGAAAGTAATCATTGACTCAATATCGTATAAAAGCATGCTGTTTATCTTTTTTAATTTCTTGATAGTTCTTTCTGATGCTGCTACTGAGATTCATAAGAGGATTTTGATTGATTCCTCAGTTTTTTGAATATAATTTTTCCTAACTTTTTTTAATTTTGAAACTCGAGAAAATAAAAAGAACATATTTTCACTGAGAATTACTGCTATCGCTTTTTAACTTTATTTTTTGCTTTTTAACTTTTTATTTTGACATAATTTCAAACTTAAAAAGTGTTGTAAGAATGGTACAAAGGATTCTCAAATATCTTTCAGCTAGATTCCCCAAATGTTAACATTTTACCTGTTTGCTTTATCTTCCTCTCCTTTTTGTCTTCATAGTTTTCTTCTGAAATCTTTGCTAGTGAGTTGCAGATGTGGTGTCCCTCTTAACCCCTAATACTTAAGTGTGTATTTCCTAAAAACAGTTAACATTGTCTAAACTAACAACAAAATCAGGAAATTAATATTGATACAGTGTAGTCTACAGGTCTTAATATGGTTTTGCCTGAAGGAGTCTGGAATTGATATTGCTAATTTTTTTTTAAAACAGCTTATTAAGGTATAATTGACATGTAAAACACACTCATTGTAATGTACGATTCAGTGATTTTTAGTATATGTGCAGAGATGTGCAACCATTATCCCAAAGGCTCTCTCTTTTTTGTTTACAAGTGACTTCCTCCTCCCACCATAGCTCTAGACTACCACTCATCTCTGATGAGTTAGGCTTGCCTTGCTTAGTCTGGGACAGTTACGTCAGCCCATTGTACCTTGCAGGCTATAAGCACAGCGGGAAACTGCATGCTACACTAATAATCATTTATATTTAATGTTGAGCTACTCGATTGGTTGCATGTACACATAACTTAAAATTTTCTCTTTCAGAACTAATAAAAATAATGTTAGAAAATAATCTGGCACATAATTGGAGCTAGATGTTTTATGGAATAAATGAATAAGTTGTATAAGAGTGTTTGCTGAGGAGGAACTGTTGGTTCATTTGCTTCTTACCATTTTAGAAATTTGTTCCTGATGAGATTAGCCTATAAGTCTATATCCCAGGTGAAATACTTTCTGTCAGGATAAATCTGTAATGGATGAATGCATATAAGCAGTAATGGTATTCTTAAGAGTGCAGAAAAAGTGGTTTAAAGGTGAAAAAGAGAAGCAGAATGCATAGATAAAGCTTCTTTAGTTTATTTTGTTTTGGGGGAGGACCAAATTTATTGAGATAAAATTTACATGCATTAAAATGCGTCAATTTTAATTTCAGTGTCTGACCACTGCCACAATAGAGATAGGAAACACTTCCAACGTAGGTGCTTGTTTTGTTATTTGGGGCCATAAAGTTTCATCCTTGGTGGATGAAAATGTTTTGAACCTTCTAAAAGTGAAGCACTACTTTTCAAGTATTCTTTAAATGCTTTAAATTTCAAGTATTCTTTAAATCATTTAAGTCATTTCAGTGCTGATAAAATAAGCTCCTCATCTCTGTTAAACCCCACACACAATCCCTCGGCAATTGACTACATTCAGAGTATATCTAGAAACCAGTAACTTGTCACCACTTCACTACCAACACCTGTTCTAGGCCACCTCTCTTGTCTAGGTTATTTCAATAGTCTCTTACTTTTCTACCCTTGTTCTCCTCCAGTCTTAACATAGGGGCCAGTGTCACTGTTAAAATATAAGTCAAGTCAAAAACCTTTCAGAGTAAAAACCAGTATTTTTACAGCAGTTTACAAAGCATTACATTTTTTGAACCCCCTTCCCATCTCCAGTTTGTGCCAGTCCTGTGCTTCAGCTGTTGGCCTTCTTATTCCTCGAGCAAACACACCTCAGTTTCTTTGTATTTGCAGTTTCCTTTGCTTGAAAGGCTATTGCCCCCAGTATAGGGCTTCCTGCCTCATTCTCTTGCAAGTCTTTTTTAAATGTTGCCTTCTTGGTGAAGCGGACCACCTTGTTTAAAATAAAGCATTCCTTAGCTGTCTTCCCTATTTCATTCAACAAAGTACATACCAACTTTGACTGTCTTTATAAAGTATTGTAAGAGGATTACAGTTTTATCACCTACAGGTAAAAATGATAGACTTTGCTTATCCTAAAGTTTGTTCTCAGTCATTTCACATACATCAAAACATACCAAGCTCTATATTGAAATATGTGGTTGATACTCTCCTTTTAGGATGTTTAAAGTCAACATTAATTATCAGAGATCACCAGAAATGTTTGTTTTCTGAATTTCTGTAGGAAGGGCCATTATCTTATTAAGATTACCTTCATCTTTGAATTTCAGCTTCTGAATAAGCAAGTTTTTAACAGTTCCAAATAAAAGGGAAATATTCTGTAGAAAAATTGGAGTGAATGAAATGGGTATATTGCATAACTAAAACATAATCTGGTTAATTGTAGAATGAAAAGACATTTGAAAACTGAAAAAATAGTTTAAACACCAAGAACATAGAGGGTTTTTTTTTTTTAAGTAGTATTTGCATTTAATACTTGGCGGGGGGGGGGGAGTGATTCTAAAGACGAATTCATGGTTCAATCTTTGTAACCATTGTGAGGCTAGGTGCTTGTCACTGCTCGAATTGTACCCACACATGGTAACATCTTAATAAATTTATTTAAAGAGTTTCTTAGTGTTTGTTTACTGATTCATTCATTGATTATTTATTCAACAGGTATTAATACCAACTGTTCTTCTAAGAAAGTGCTGAGATAGAGTATTATAATGATAATACAAGAGCTTCTGTAAGTAGGACAGTAGCCCTCGATGTTTTAAAAGGATACATGCTCCTGTCACCTTCCATATAGATTATTTGTTTTTGTTTGGGGAAGCAAGTATTTTTAAAAAATTATTTAAAGATTCAACACATTTACAGTCTTAAATTAGTTGCATTTATACCTACTATTTTAAGGCATTTCCAATAGCTTACTTGCTGATATATGGCATTACTCTAGGTATTTATTTTACCTGTAAAGCTTTCTGAATATTTTAAGTGTGCTGTGTTTTTGAAATTGAAGTTTAGATTTTATAGACTATTTCAATACCTTAACTTCTTAAGGGAAAACACTCAGGAAGAATAGCTATGAGGATAAAGGGCATACTTTTTAAAGAAATGTCTGATAAAGGAGTAAAAAGATACTCAGTCTCATTAATGATTAGGGATATTCAAGTAGAAATGAGAGTATTTTTTTTAACCTATCAGATTGGAATGATGGTGAGGATATAAGGAAGGGGCATACCTAAGTACTCTTGGTGGGAATATTGGTACAGTAGGTTTGGAGGTAAAGTGTAGATATATAACAGTACTTACCTGTATTATAGAATTACTTGGCACAGGTGCTTAGAGTTGTATGTCCATGATGTCCAAGAACATTTAATATTATTTGTAAGAGGTAAATTACGGAGATAACCATCCATGTTGGTAGATAGTTGTATCTATATAGTGATAGTTTATTGCTTTATAAAGAATGGAGTAGAAGTTTATGACGTGAAGAGATGTTAATGAAGGGGAAATGTACATAATATACTATGATTATATTGCTTGCACAAAAACATAAATGATTATATATTAGTTTGTGTAGAGAAAGGTATTTTAGAAGAATACAATGATCTATACCAAACTTGGGATTAGGGGCAAGGAAGTGGAAGACAAGCACGTTTTATCCTTTCTCTCCTGTAGGATGAGTAAAACAATATATAAAACCCAGAAAAGAAAATAGTAGAGAAAAACATTTTTTAAAAGCTTTAGACAACTCTGAATCATTTGTTATAGAGTATAGGTAGGGGAGTTTTTCCAAGGATACAACAGAAAATCTGTTAATCAAGTTACTACTTTTAGCTGCATCATTAATATCAGATCAATCCACTTATTTTGGTGCATGGAATCTTACTAGGACATTCTAACATCATTTTTCTAAACTTTTCTCAGTAGTTTTGGAGACTTGCAGTACATTGACAAAAATATTGACAATGTAAAATTTGAGGATAGGGAAAGTCTTAAGTATTTCTATTCATTAGGAAAAAGACAAAAGTTTCTTTTGAGTGATAGTAGTGTTATAAACGAAACAGTTCAGTGTGTTTTTGTATTTTTAAAAATCAAATACCAGCATCTGATTCTTGAATTTCATCCATTCATTAAATATCATTCAGGAAAGGTTAAGAGGTTTGCTTTAACGTTTAAGAAAAATTATCATTTTTTTTCCATTGTCATAAATTGGATATTTTCTTTATATTTGAATGATTACAGTGGGACCTGATACCTGTAGGTTCCCCCCTACCTTCCCAGGTTTGTAGAATGTCACTGAGACATTGATTTGTCCTTCAAGAACTGGCCAACGCTGAATCAACAAATACCGTGTGATTTTGTTAATTTAGTTTTCAGGATGCATAAAAAATGAACGCTTCAGAACACTTAAAAACTGTTAGATATTTTCCTGAATTCTGAGTTTGGTTTAAAAAGATTCATTGATGTTTGGTACTTAATTTTTGGATATTAACTGAACCTCAAAATTTTTTTCTTCCTTTATATGTATTCCCATATGATTGTAGGAGTCTATCCTGAACTTAGATCGTGTACATTTTGGGAACTTATTTTAAAAAAGATCTAAGTTTAAAAAATTCTCAATGGACAGACAGAGAAAAGAGGGTCTTTGCCAACTCCTTTGGGTAAGAAACTTCAGAATTTTGCAGATACTCTAAAAATGAAGGCCAAGAAACCAGGCATATCAAATTGTAAATTTTTCAAATAACGTGATTTGCCATGATTTCTTTCTTTAGACTGCTGCAGTAAGAATGTCTTTTCCCCCTCATTTGAATCGCCCTCCGATGGGAATCCCAGCACTCCCACCAGGGATCCCACCCCCACAGTTTCCTGGCTTTCCACCACCCGTGCCTCCAGGTAAGTTTGTGGGTACTGTTGCTTTTGTAGTTGATGACAGTGTTGTATTAGCTTCTGGTATACAGGAAAGTGATTCAGTTTCTTGGATTTTTTTGTGTTGTGTTTCAGTTTTATATATATATATATATATATATATATATACACACACACACATACTTTTTTTAAGATTCTTTTTCATTATACTTAAGATATTGAATATAGTTTTCTGTGCTATACAGTAAATCCTTGTTGTTTATCTGTTTTATATATAGTAGTTTATATTTGCTGATCTGAAACTCTTTAATTTATTCCTCCCTGCTTGCCCTTTTGGTAACCATAAGTTTGTTTTCTGTCTTTGAGTCTGTTTGGTAAATAAGTTCATTTGTATCACTTTTTTAGATTACACATGTAAGTGGTATCACTTGATATTTGTCTTTCTCTGATTTACTTCACTTAATATGATAATCTCTGGGTCCATCCATGTTGCTGCAAATGACATTATTTCATTCTTTTTATGATTAAGTAATATTCCATTGTAAACATCATTATATACCATATCTTCATTCATCTGTCGATGGACATTTAGGTTGCTTTCATGTCTTGGCTACTGTATATAGTGTTGTGACATTGGGGTACATGTATATTTTGAATTAGAGTTTTCTCTGTGTATATGCCCAGAAGTGGGGTTGCAGAATCATATGGTAGCTCTACTTTTAGTTTTTTAGGAACCTCCATGCTATTTTCCGGGGCTTCCCTGGTGACTCAGTTGGTAAAGATTCTGCCTGCAAGGCAGAAGTCTGCCTGCAGTACAGTAGACCTGGGTTTGATCCCTGGGTCTGGAAGATCCCCTGGAGAAGGAAATAGCAACCCATTCTGGTATTCTTGCCTGGGAAATTCCATGGACAGAGGAACCTGGTGGACTACAGTGCATGGAGTCAAAAAGAGTTGGACATGACTTAGCAACTAAACCGCAACATACTATTTTCCATGGGGCTGCGCCAGTTTACATTCCCACCAATGATGGTGGCTTTTTTTAATGTGTCCTTATGTCATTGCAGTATTATCTTTAGAAGATACATGTATGAGTATTGGTAGAAATTCTGCCTGTTAGCGTTCTAGAAATGTGATGTCTCATTTTCCTAAGGTGGGAGTTTCTATTTCTGGCCGAGTATCGAAGCCATCTAAGAAATATAAAATCTTTATTTAAATAATAGGTAATACATTTATACCAATCAAAAAGGTATACAGGGAAAAACTTTTCTCGCCTTCCTGTATAATGTATTACTATCCCCTTACTGAAAGATGAAAACAAAACAGGGTTATTAGTTTTTTCTTTATCCTTCCAGATATTTTTTGGTGCATATTGCAGGCCGCTCTAAATATGTATTTTTCTATTCCATTTGTTTTTGTGTTAATTCCTTTAACACAGATAATGTAGTACATCATATATATACTATTCTGCCTTAACATATATATATGTATTTGACTATATCTTGGAGAGGTTTCCAAAGTTCTATTTAAAAACTTCCTCTATTCAGTGTTTTATAAAGTAAAAAAAGTTTTAAGTCCAGCCCCATCCTACTGAATCAAATCCTTAGAAATTAGGGCCTAGGAATGTCTTTTTAACAGGTTCACAGGTGATTCCTAAGTATCCATTTAAGCACAGTTAAGAGAACCCACATTTGAGAACTCTTGAGATTTATAATTAGCATTGCTTGACTTAAACTTTTCCTCTGGTTTATGAATGGTAGTTCAGATTTTTTTTTTAATGGGATTGAAAACATTTTGTACAGATTCAGTTTCCCTTATGAAAGATAGTATCTAAGAGTTCTCCTTACTTTGCATGTTGGGAAGTATTTTCATTTAACATAGAATCCATGTAATTCAGGCTGAAATCAACAAATGATCTTGTAAACCAACTAGAAGTGTTTCTTTTTAGGAAAGCTTTACATCAGTTACCTGGCTTTAACCATTGGATTATCTGTTTGAAATTACAGTGTTTACTAATGAGCTTGACTGTTGCAGAATCAAAAATACCTTGCAATTGGCTAATTTGATGGGTTGTTAATTCATAACATGTACATTACAGAGGCTTAGCTTTGGGGGCCTCCTACCTTTAGGTCAAGTACACAGATGTGTTGGAGTAGATGTGAAAAGCCACAAGATAAATATGGAATTTTTCTGGAGTATCATTTAAAGCTTCAGGAATTTAAGGGTAAATCATAATTTAAAAAAACAACTACTTATGTGTATACATCGTGGAGTAGAATGCTGTACTTGTAAAAGTTTTTAAGACATTTTGCTTGTAACTGGCTGTTTTAAGCTGTTCTTTGAGATAATCATGGGTATGTATTTGTTATCCCCTTGCCGCCAGGGATGTAGTGGGAGAGCTTGACTACTATCAGTGTATTACTCCACGTAACAATTACTGAATTACAGTCAGTAACTTAACTGCTCTGTAATAAAGGAGTTTGTCCTGAAAAGAGGGATTAAGAAAATAATGTTAACAGAAATCTGAATAGTTATCAACCATCAAACATTAATTTCTTGAGAAGGATAGTGTCCTGAGCCACTTTCATTTGGGCATCAATTTTTGAGGGGTTCTTTATTTTTTTAGTCTCATAATATCTATTTTCTGATGGTCTTTCCTAGTAACATACTTAACAAAGTCCTTGTGTTACAGAGTTAATAGGGAAGACTATATTACTTCCAGTTTGTGAAGAAATTTTAAGGCTTTGAGAATAAAGCTTAATCACTTGTTCAGAATCAGGAAAGGTGATGATGAAAAACCGTTTGTTTCCTTACCAGTGTATTGGTTTTATAGAAGAAATTTTAAATTTCTTTTAATTTTTAAAAAACACATACTAAATGAATTGATAACTGTCCAGAATTTTGTACTCATTAAGGCAATAGCAGGTTATGGTAGTCTTTTTGCTTTATGAGTGTTTTTGTTTTTAAGTTTATTTAGATAGACCAATCTGTAAACTATATTTGGTTTTGAAAAATGTCTCATTAATATCGCATTTTTCATTAGTCTTATATTTCCCCTTAAAAGCACTTTGAAGGTACTTATTTTTATGGTATGTACTTGATATAGAATATATTCTTGTATATATAATTATATTCTTAAGATGCATTTTGCTGCTTTTTTAGGGACCCCAATGATTCCTGTACCAATGAGCATTATGGCTCCTGCTCCAACTGTAAGTATAACTTTTAAGGAGGAATTACAAGTACTGCTGCTTTTAATTGAATCTAAACAACTTGATAAACTCAGATAAATTATTTTAAATGTTTAAAAGAATAATAGGAAGAAAGAGCATTCATATATATCATACTAATTTAAATAATATTTTCTCTCAAGTACAGTTGCTCCTAAAGTAATGCTCCCTAAATAAATTATTTTGATTTTGTGATTTTTCTCTTATTCTCTAGACTCTTCATATACTGTTAATTCAGATTTAGACATTGACGCTTCCACTGCTCCCTCATGTCTTGGTTCTTGAAAGTAGGAGATGTGATCTGATATATCTGATTTCTTAAAAAAACATGCAGAAATGATCTAGTAGAAATTTAAAATTTGAAATGAAAGTTGAATATATTTTTACTCTTTGCTCTGACATACCTGATTTTTAGCTTCTTCAAAACTTATTTTTTTTCTCTGTCCTCTAGTATGATACCATCAAACTTTCTTAAGTTTTACTGAAACCTTTTCTCTGCTGAAGTTTTATTATTCAGTCTTAACGTCTTGAACTTTAATTCTCCACATTCATAAAAGCTTCTCTACACTCTAGGCATCTTAGTTAAGAATGCTAGTATACTGTAACATGAGATTAAATGATAACCCTCTTAATGTTTATTTAACTAGAATTTTTCTTCGAGTTACTTAGTAGAATATAGGGTTTAAATTGTAATTCCTCTGTGAGGGAGATTAGGTCTCATTACTTTTAGCTATTTTTTTTTTAACCTGTGGGTTTTGAAGAGGGAGGGAAGTGTTATTTATTTTAAAAGGGCAATGAAATAGGACCTTGCTGTGAGGCGGACCAAGGGGGCCGTCCAGCTTTTCTTGCATTGGACATTCCTTGGGAGGCATGCACTGGGAAACCCCCACATGACGAGTACCCTTGTCCTGCATCTCAGCCGAGGAAAAGGTAGCTCCCCCAATTCACCACTTCAGTGCCTACTGTATGTATATGTTTTGCTAGATTCAATTCCAAATATAAAGACGAGTAAGACTATTCTCTCTGGGAAGTTGAACTTTATGAAAGGAAAAATAAGACAGAAACACAAGTAACTGAGAAAAGGTAAACCTAAAGTGTGGGGAGAGTGCTATGGGAATATTTGAAATTCTGCAGGAAAATTCTGCAGGAAAATTAACAGGGATAATTGAAGTCTCCTTTTATACTAGTACAGAGTATAGTAGGTGAAGAAATGTGTGGGTATATTTGAAAACTTTAAATGATTTTTGGTGTCTTAAACATAAAATTTCTATCCAAGTTTTTTTTTTTTTCTACCCAAGTTTTTTTGTTTGGTCTTTCAAGTTGTGTTTAAAAGAAAGGTAATCCAATAGTGGGTTTCCCTGGTGGCTTAGTGGTAAGGAATCCACCTGCCAATGCAGGAGATGCGGGTTCGATCCCTGATCCAGGAATATCTCCTGGAGAAGGAAATGGTAACCCACTCCAGTATGGTTGCTGGGAAATCCCATGGACAGAGGAGCCTGGCGGGCTACAGTCCTTGGGGTTGCAAAAGAGTTGGATACAACTCAGTGACTAAACAACAACAGCAAAATCTAATAGTGACACTTTACTTGTCATAAATAAGTTGTATTAATGAAAAATGTGCTTTGAGAACTTTATATTAAACACATAGAACCTATAGTAATATTAAATATATAGAACCTGTCCTTTATGTTTGCTACTTTAAAATAGGTGTTTTGGGACTTCCCTGGTGGTCCAGTGGTTAAGGCTCTGAGCTTCCACTGCAGGGGGCACAGGTTCCATCCAGGTGTGGGAACTAAGTTCCTGCGTGGTGTTTGGTGTGGCCAAAAAAAAAAAACTAAAATTGATGTTTTACCCTAATGTTACATTAAGCGTGACAGCAAATTTAATTGCAAGTTCAAATTTCATTGTCTGTCTTCACTTTAGGTCTTAGTACCCACCGTGTCCATGGTTGGAAAGCATTTGGGAGCAAGAAAGGATCATCCAGGCTTGAAGGCTAAAGAAAATGATGAAAACTGTGGTCCCACCACTACAGTTTTTGTTGGCAACATTTCTGAGAAAGCCTCAGACATGCTTATAAGACAGCTCCTTGCTGTAAGTTAAACTGTTTGTTTTTCATTTTTAGATTTTTTTTGTTATTAATTTCAGACTTAAGAAAAATCAGAGAAGACTAAATTACTGTCTCTTATATTTTGAAAAGTTTCAGTCCTGCAGAGAAGTTGAATAAATAGTGAACACCTTTGCAACACCTTTTGCCACATTTGTTTTCTCTCTCCACACACACACTGCTTAGTTTTTTTCTGAATAGTTTGGGAGTAAGTTGTGGCATTACATTTCACCTTTGAATACTTCTTATATCTCCTATGACCAAGGTACTCTCCTACATTTTTTACACTTAGGAAATTTAAGGTTGATTCAGTATTGTTAATTAAAATACATATAGCTCATTTATTTTACCAACAGTTTCTATAATAGGTGTTTTTTGTTTTTGGTCTATAATCCAGTCAGGGATGTATATACATTGCATTTAATTGTCATGGTTCTTTAGATGGCTTCTTTATTATAGAGCAGTTCCCTGCCTCTTTTTGTTTACTTGTTTTTGTCTTTTGTGATATTGATGTTTTGAAGTGTCTGGGTCTTTTGCAGAATGTCTCACCCAATTTGAATTGATTGTTTACCCATAGTTAGATTTAGAGTAAGCATTTTTTATAAGAATGGGCCATGTGTGATGACTGTTCTCAGGGGCAGCGTAGCAAGAAACACCATGTCTCTTGGTTCCATATTTGGTGGTATTAAGTTATTTGGTTAAGGTGGTCTGATCTCTCCATTTTAGGGTATCTTTTCTCCCTTTGTCATTAATGAGTAACTTCTGGGTTAAGTTTTTGAGACTGTGTGAGTCCTTTTCTTTAGAAGCCTTTGAAACAGTGATTTTAACATCTAGTGGTGATTGATTGACTGCCTTTAAAGTTTTTATTCTGAGCATATATAGTCAGTTTTTTTGACCTGGTCATTGATTTTCTTTTTTGTCTTAGTCTTAAAAATTCATCCTGAGGCTTACATGCACATTTTAAGTGAAAGAATACTGACTTTTTAAATGAAAAATAACGGTATCCGTACTCACTCTTTGCATAGTCTCTGCTGTGTCTTAGAGAAGTTATTTAAAAATAGAGAAGTTATTTAAAAATTTTTTCCTTCTTCATTTTATATGTACATTATTGCCATTTCTGTTTTATAAATCATGTTATCCTTGCATTAAAAAGTGTTCAGAAAAAAAGGATTTAGAAAATAAACATAAAACCTAGCTTTGTCAGATCTTAGTATTTTGTGATACTAGCTTTAGATTTTCATCCCAAAGAAACAAAACATGAAGGTCCTAATTCTCATTTCTGTCTTCCACGGAGGTAATAAGCAGAGGGAATCCATTATCCTAAACTGGGTGTTTATCATTCCTGACCATATTTTTTACTCTAATTACATATTTATATTCATAAAAGTTTATCATTTATAAGTTTAAAATCTGTATTCTTCCACAGTTTGCTTTTTTCACCCAGCATATATGTAGCTCTAGTTTGTTTACTTTTCACTGCTATATGCCATTGCATTATAGAGATATGCTGTAAATTGTCAAATTTTTTACTGATGGTCATATGGATCATTTTCACTTTTTGATATTATGTTTTGCTATGTTATTACTGGTAATACATCTTTCTAAATGAACATGGAAGTGCTCGCTTCGGCAGCACATATACTAAGTGAACATGAAATGAATTGTGTCATGTATTCTCTTAGAAGTGGAATTTCTGTCATTGGGCATGCTTATCTTCACTTTTAAAGATAATGCCAATTCTCCCCCAAGGTAGAACATTGGAAGGACATTTTATTTATTTCTATTGCAGATGTATTTTTAATTTTATTATTACTTATTTATTTTTGGCTGCACTGAGTCTTGGTTGTTTTGCGTGGGCTTTCTCTAGTTGTGGTGAGTAGGGAACTACTCTTTGCTGTGGTGTGTGGGCTCCTCACTGCAGTGGTTTCGCCTGCTGAGGAGCGCAGGCTCTCGGCACGTGGGATCAGTAGTTGTGACTTGCAGGCTCTAGTGCAGGCTCAGCAACCGTGGCGTGTGAACTTAACTGCCCTATCGCATGTGGAATCTTACTTCCCTTATTAGGGATTGAACCTGTGTCCACCTGCATTGGCAGGCAGATTCTTAACCACTGACCTACCAGGGAAGTCCTCGGAGGACATTTTAAAAAACATCTTTATTGAGATATAATCCACACACCATAAAATTCACCCTTTTATAATGCACAGTTCAGTGGCCTTTAGTATATTCAGAGAGTTTTGCAAATATCACCACTGTCTTAATTCCTGAACATTTTTATCACCCCATATAGAAACACTGTACCCATTAACACTGCTTCCCATTTTCTCCTCCCCTCAGCATCTGGCAACCACTATTAAACCTGTCTCTCTGGATTTGCTTGTTCTGTGCATTTTATGTAAATAGAATTTTAGAATATGTGGCTTTTTTGTTTTGTCTTTGACTTAGCCAGATGTTTTCAAGATTCACCTATGGTGTAGCTTATTAGTGAAACTTTGTTCCTTTTTTATGGCCAACTAATAATGGCAACCCCCTCCAGTACTCTTGCCTGGAAAATCCCATGGACTGAGGATCCTGGTAGGCTACAGTTCATGGGTCGCAAAGAGTCGGACACGACTGAGCGGCTTCACTTCACTTCACTTCAATACTCCATTTAATCGCTATGCTACATTTTGTTTATCTGTTTATCAATGGATGGACACTGGGTTGTTGTGAATAATGAGGCTGTGAATATTCGTGTACAAGTTTTTGTGTGGATACATGTGTATGTTTTCAATTTGAAACATCCTTTTTTAAAACTGCTGTTGATGTCCATGTGCAGCAGAGTCTTTTTTAAGATATCTTTGAATTCCTGAATTTATCTCTTCTGTTTCTTTTTTTACTTTTAAGACTTTACTTGGATGTCTGGGGAGCTTTGATTGTCCATATTTAAGAGTTAGGGATTAAAAGAGTTTTGTGTACATAAGCTGACTTTGTAAAATGTTGGGCATCGCTGTAGGGTAATCTGACTGGCAGCCAGAGGTTTTTAATTCCGTGGAGTGTTCTTTGAGGTGGGTTGGTTTCTCTAGAAAACTTCGAGTTTTATGCCTAGTGAGTTTATGATTGACTGCCTTTATGAGGTTGCAGGTACAGGATTGACTTGAAGCATTTCTTTCTTTTTTTTTTTTTGAAGCATTTCTTATACCTTTACTTTCTTCCCTTCTTACTCTTGCAATCTTATTGGTATTTTCATATCTGGCGCTCCACATCCCAAGCTTGTTTTGTTCACTTTCTTTAGATTGTTGTTGTTCAGGCTCTCTTTAGTGATGGGGAAAGGGTAGTTGCTTGAAGCCTCTGAGACTTTGATTATTTCACATTTGTATTGTCAGGCAGTAACTTATTTTTATTCAGCTTTACACTTCAGCCCAATTCTCCATAGTATCCTTTGCCCCTGGTCTGGATCCCACTAGGTTTTGTATTGATAGAGTCAGTTAGCCTAATTTTTTTTTTCTTATCAGTATCTGCTTCTATACACACTTGGAGTCATAGCTTTGTTTGTTTTCCTGAATGAGCTATTATCCATCCATTTGCCTTTTGTCTTTGCAAAATCCTGTTAAATTCTGGTGTTACTCTCTCACACTATGTTTGACCTTATGGTATTTTGTCTTTTATATGTATTTTGGCTGCACCGCGAGGTGTATGGAATCTTACTTAGTTCCTTGACCAGGGATTGAACCCATACCCCCTATAGTGGAAACTTAAAGTCTTAACTTCTAGATTATACTACCAGGGAAGTCTCAATTCTTTGATTATCATTTTAGAAATAGTTTCTCTGAATGAAGATGTGAAAAATCCATGCATTTCTCACCTTTGACAGTTAATCTTTAGTTATTACTTTCCACAAAACTTCTTTTAAATCTTCTAATTTTTCTTTAGTAATTAGAAATAAACTGTGAGTAAACAAAATGTAATAAATATCCCACCCTTCAGACAACCTGCCCCGTTAACATTTTAGAGTATTTCTGATCATTTATGGAAATTTTTTTCTTTACATAGCTAAAAATCTTACTATTGGGACTTCCAGTGGTTAAGACTGAATGGTCCAGTGGTTAAGACTCCATGTTTCCAATGCAGGGGGGTGCAGGTTCGATCCTGGTTGAGGAACTGAAGAGCCCACGTGCCTTGGGTGTGGCCAAAAAGAAAAAGATTACTGTGTATCTGCAGTTTCATGTCTCATGATATATTTGCATCCCATATCAAGCATTTCCCTATGTCTTTAAAAATCCTTTATAATATATACATGTGTTTTAATTTTTTTCTCATGTAATATATACATGTGTTTTAAAACAGTCTTTATGGGCTTACAGTATTTACTTGAATTTATTATAGTTCTAACTATTACAATATTTGGGCATTTGGGGTTTATTTACATGTATTTGTAAGATAAATAAAACTAAAATGTCTAATTTATTGAAAGATAGTTTTCTGGAAATAAGAGTCACAATTTATATTTTCCTTTAAAATGACTTGTGTATTTTATTCATATGATAAGCTTGTGGGAATTGTGAAATGTAGTTGCTGAGAATTTTTTGGCTTCTGTTTTTTCCTGAGCAGGCATATAATTACGTTCTTATTGCATTATAACTTTTAAGTGGTAAGGACCCTTTTTGTTTTCTTTTGAAGAAATGTGGCTTGGTTTTGAGCTGGAAGAGAGTCCAGGGTGCATCTGGAAAACTTCAAGGTAGGAAAACTTTTGCTTATTTATTGAGATCAGCTTAATCTGTGAGTGTAAGTTATGTCTGCATTTGCTCTCCTTAACCATGGGAGAGTCTTGTTAGCCCTCTGTCTTCACTCCTAGAGGAACAAGGACTAAAGGGAATTGGGAAGATGTTGGCTGAGAGGTGAGATTAGAAAGTGAAAAAGGCCAACAGGAGGTAGGAGAGGGGGAGAAAATTAGGCTAACTGGTTTCTTATTACTTTAAAAAGTTCTTTTTGTTTCAGAGCAGGAGTGTATGATCAAGATGGGACAATTAAAAAAAGAATGAAACAGTTAGGACTTAGGAAGGAAGTGTAGAAGAGATGATGAGATGACCTGTTAGTCTTAAAAGCCAACTATTCTTTTCATACTAGTTGGCAGAAACACCTGTTTGATATACATTCTTTAAACACTATTATTATGGAAAAATTCATACATATATAAAATTGGCAGACTAGTGTGAACTCTTATGTACTTGTCTAGCATTTTAACATTAATTAGGTCATGCCATTTGAGCTTAACCTGTACCCTGTCCATTTTCTTTTTATATTATTTTCGTACAGTCCTGAGCACCAGATGATTTTGTCTATAAATATTTTTATGTCTCCAAAAGATAAGTTTTTAAAAAACTAGTTATTTTCATTAGAGGCTAATTACTTTACAGTATTGTAGTGGTTTTTGCCATACATTGACATGAATCAGTCATGGGTGTATGTGTGTTCCCCATCCTAAATCCCTCTCCCACCTAAGATAAGTTCTTTTTAAAAAACATACTTAAAATGCAAAAAAATAAAATAAAAAACATACCTAAAATGCAATTATAAGACCAAAGGAAAAAGCGTTTCTTCTAATTATTCTCAGTATTTAGATATCCAACATTCAGTCAATATCCAGTCCATGATCAGATAGATGTCCAGCTGACTCAAATGTCAGTTTCTTAGATAGTCCTTTTGACAGGATTCATGTAAAATCCCTGCTTTGCCATAGGTTGACATATTTTTGAGATTCTTAATATTTTTAGTTCTTCTGTCTTTCTTCTTTCTCTTGAGATGTGTTGGAGAAACTGGATCTTTTGCCCAGCAGTGTTTTCTCAGTTTGGATTTGCTGATTGCAGCTCCAGTAGAATTACGTGCCTTGCATCTGTGTCCACTGCATTGTAATGTAAACTGTTTGGTAGTTGTAGCTTGAGACTTGATCAAATTTGAGTTTGTCTGTTATTTTTGTTGATGCTTTTTAAATGTAAGAATTCTAATTAGGAGTTTCTTCCATTAGGAGTCATATTCGCTTATAATTTTTTTTAAATGATAGCAGCTTTTGTCAGTGACTGGCTGATTCATTCACTGGGGGTTTGCCAAATGTAACAGTCTGTTTGGAAGAATTCTGTTATTCCTTCATTGAAGAACAAATCATCATTTGTTAATACAATACATCCGTAAGGATAAACTTCCTTTTCCATGTACTGTTTGGCTACTTAGAGATATAATTTCTGTAAGAATAATGAGATAAATGCTTTGGTTCTTTGATTTTTCAAAAGAATGATCTTATATTCTTAGCATCCTCTAGCAGTGACTTTTTTAACACCTATTTTGAACTTGTAGATTGACGAGTATTCAATTTGTTGTTATTATATTTAATATAGATTAATTGTCATTATCCCTATTGAAGCTTAAGTTGTCTCAGGTTGCCTCTGGAAATTGGATCTTCAGTGATTTTTGACCCAAACCTAAATGCCTTTGATAGCTTCCTTGTTATCTGGGAATAAGATATACGAAGTTCAGCTAGTAGTTTTTCTGCCCAAGATTTGGGATCAGCCATTTCTGAAGAGGCTCTGGTTCTTTTTAGTGGGAAATTGTTTTCAAAAAGACCATCTGGATATTGGTGCAGTCACTGTAACCATTGTTTGGTCTTTACTTTGCCAATGAACAGTAATTCAAATTCAAGCCTAAAAGATTTTTATCTAATCTTTTTTGTCATATGTCTTATGTTTTTCTTCCACACTTAGAATCCTGAGCTTCAACACTGGGGATGATAGACTAGTAAATAATTATTATTTGTTATTGTTATCCTCTCATATTTCACATACAATAATTTCAGACCAATAGCACCAATACTGTCATCAATCATATGCTTGTTGACAGGTCTTTTTGTCTTTAGGATATATTCCACTTAAGTATGTAGTCAAATTTTCTGTTTTAAGAATCACTCAACATGTAGTTGTATCACTAAGTGTAAACATATTTGGATTCATTTGTTTAATTTTATTCTCAATGTTCTTTTAAATTTAATTTTGTTTTAATATCTTTATTAAAAATCATGAAAATAGACTATTAAAATGAAAGAGACAGAATAATTAGACTAGTAAATAGAATAAAAGATCAGTACTTTTGTAGTTTAACATCTCTGAACTGAAAAGTGCTGTATTTAGGTTCAGGCAGCCTTCTTGCCTCACTAGCTGTGAGGAAATTGAGGATGGAATGAATCCATGAAATAATTAAAAGAATGAATCATGAAATTTGCTATTTTGCTGAGTGTTTTTTCAGCATTTCTAATAGTAGCATTTTGCTTGACGAGAATTTTTCCTCCTTTCCATTTTTCTTTTCTCTTTTTTCTTTTGGTTGTTTCGAGAGTGCTAAAAGAGATATCCATGTCAAAGTTAATTGAAGGAAAAGGAGGAGCGATGAAATAATCTTTGCATTGTAATGCTGTGATCTGTAATGATTTCAGTGTTCCACAAATACTTTTCATCTTTCATAATTGTTTTGATATCTTACTAAATTCTTTGTATCCTTTGCTAGCCTTTGGATTCTGTGAGTATAAGGAACCAGAATCTACGCTCCGTGCACTCAGGTTATTGCATGACCTGCAGATTGGAGAGAAGAAGCTACTTGTTAAAGTTGATGCAAAGACAAAGGCACAGCTAGATGAATGGAAAGCAAAGAAGAAAGCTTCTAATGGGGTATGTTTTCCATAGCATTGTCTTCTCTAGGCTAACTGTGCTTTTTCAGTGTAAATGCTTCTCACTGTGAATGAATCTAATACAGGGCTTCACAAGATCATCAAGTGTGTTTTATATATAGTTATTTTAAGTCTTTTATCTACCCATAGTGGGTGGATGACTGTTGGTTTGCTTATTCCAGGTTGGGATGAAGGTAGTGAGGGAGGCTGGACAAGGTTAACTTGCCAGAGACACCACTGGTAGACTATTCCAAACAGAGCTGGCTCATTAAGACAGCTTTGTAAGTACAGAATATATTTCAACCTACAAAACTTTTATTAGTTGCCCTCTCTTTTAGAAGTACACAGGTTCTAAAATGAATTAAAATAAATCTTATTACTTTTATCAGATGGTGGCTCTATTAAGTGAAGCTAATGTAAAGGAAATTTTTGTATTTTGTTTTGTAATGTATACATTACTACTCCCTCTCAACAAAGCAAAAAATAGCTAAAGCCTTAGTGTATATTTCCTTGTCTTCCCTTCCTAGTTTCTTTTGACATATCAAGCTGAATGAATCCAGAGTAGATTCATTATTACCTTTATATCTCTATAAAAACAAAACAGCCTTTTTGGTCTGTTGAGTCTTTTAACTGTTATTCAAAATAGAAGTAGCTTTCTTAGTTCCGTCACTCCCTCCTTTACAGAAACATTGTAAAAGTATTCATAAAAGCAGAACGACCTCTAAAGAAGACGTTAAATACAACCCATAATTCTATCATCATTAGTAACCACCGTAGACATTTTTGTTGCATATTTTTCCAGGCATTTTCTCTAAGGTATAAGACATTAAGTGTAATTATGTCAGCCCCTTGCTCATACATCCTTAATGGTTTTGAATTTCTTAAAATATGAAGCCTATATTCTTAGCATGGCATCCTAACCTTGCTCCCATCTACCTTTCTGGCTTACTCCATCAATCCCCTTCTATGTTCAGTCATATATTCCTACAAACTCCTTTGTGGTTTGATATCCTTGTTGCCCGTACAAGCTCCCTGTTGAAATTCTATCCACATTTAGTTAAATGTTGCTTGATTCATGTAACTATCATGAGTCCTACCCTTGATTCCTCTCAGGCAGAATTAAATCCCTTCTTTTTATATAAAGCAGGATTTTACTGTTATGTCAATCTGCTTTGTAGTGTATTTTGTTTGTATCCCTCTCTCACACCTTCTTATCCCGTTTTCATTCTCATATCCTACATTCACTGATTATAAGGTAGGGCAATAAGTTCATAGACTATTTTTTCATCTTGTACCTCTAGGTCGGAGTCTTGCCCGTGATGAGAATGGGGTGAACATTTATTGTAAGAGTTGCATTTATGTTGCTCACCTGATAATCTTTACTGTCTTTACCTAGCTGTATAAGGAATTAATAAAATTTACACTCCAGAGAAATTGTATTTTATTTCATATCAGCAGTATTGTCTGTCGTAGCCCTAAAACCTTAAAAAAGCCAACGGTCTTAGATTTTCCTTGCTGTGATAACCAAATTCATATTTAAAATAAAGCCTGGATACAATGTTTCCAAAGTGTTTTATGTAATTTCCCTGGACTCATTATTTTACTCTGCTTGGTCATTTGTGAGGTGGTTTAAATTGTGGCATTGCAAATGTTGTGCTCCGATCATAAAGTAAATCACTTCATTGTGTGTTTATATAAATGAGGAAATGTATAATTGTGTGACTTCATTTTGTAATCCCTGTTAGTAAGAGGAATCACAATTGAAATCTGTTCATAGTTTTCCTCAAGAATGGAGTTGAAGCTACCTCTTAATAAAAATGGAGCAGTTATTTCAGATAAAATGAAATTTCAAAATTAACAGGCCTGACTTGTGGGTGCATTTGTCACGGTTTCCAGAGGTATTGAAGTCGTAAGACAAACATGGCATAGTTTTGCAGAGTTGTTGATTTTACTCAACAATACTAGTAAAATGAATGCGAATAATTCTATCAGATAATTTTTTTCACACAAGTAAATACATTGTCATGATTTTTCAGGATAAATGTGAAAGTGTATTTGTTCTTTATCTTTTGTTGTTGTTGTTGTTTATCTTTTATTGTTGATTTGTTGGAGAAATTTAGAAAATAGTGATTTGAAGTAGATGATATGAGAATGAGACATTGAGAAACATGTGTGGTACCTCATCCATTTTCCTGAGTCCCAGGCAGAAGAAAGAACATGATTAGTTGTATAGTTCTCTGATTCAAAAAGAACCATGAATTTGTCTAGAAAGATGTTTTTCCTGATCCAGAATTTTAACAGGAATTATGTGCCTTGATTAGTAGTGCTAGTAAAAGCTTTTATTTAGATTTTGCAGAAGCTGTGGAGAGAACATTTTTACTTGTAGTAAAAGTATTTCATTTGAGGTAGCAACACTGATCTTAGTCCTTGTCCTTTTGTTTTACCTCTTGTTCAGTAGTAGCAGTTTAGGACTAAGAGACATCTGCTTAATCATCAGAAATAGTGCTTGTTTACCACACATTCAAGGTTGACTTCCAAGTATTGAAAGTACAAATAACCTTTGGAAAGAGCTGCCTACTTTATGTTTTTTAATTGAGGACAGATCAGATACTGCAGGTAGGAACTCCTTCACATTTTTGTCTGGAAATTAGTGTGAGTGTGGTGGAATCTACGTTTTTTCCAGAGAAAGAGCTCTACATTTGCTTAGTTGCCCAAGTTCTTGTTTTGGACTCTGTAGAGGTCAGTGCCAAAGAGTGAGCCAAGTGGAGTTTTTACCTCTCTCCAACTAGTAGCTTTACTATGAAAGCTCTGAAAAGAGCGGGATAGTTGGGACTTGTAAACATCTCAGATATTCAGTCTATTTCTTTGATCTTTTTGTACTGTGCTGCACTGCTGAACCCTTCACTTTTTGCTGCTCAGCATGCTTTCTGTTTCTGAAGTGGAAGAAAAAATGAAGTCAGGAAGTTGTCTGTGGTTCAGGACCCAGAAGTAGAATTTAAGTTGAAACTAAAAATAACTTTTCCTCCCAAGACACATATTGTGATTTTTGTTTTTCTTACATTAACAATTGGTTGAGATGGGACTCATAAGCTTTCCTTCTGAAAAATGTAAATTTTCTCTATAGATCAAGGGGTAGTAGTCATTTGTAATGTAGTGTGAACTAGTTCATTGCAAATGTTTTACTTCTGTTTAGCTATATTAATATTTAAGTCTTAGCTTAGGATGAGTGGTGGTAGGGAATTTAGGGGCTATGAGTATTTTTAGGTGAATAAGGCTTTGGATTTGTAACCCCACCTCTATCCTTATGTTTAAAAGAGCATGGAGATGTGGAGGGTTCATGGAAAGAAATTTAGAATGTAGGTAAAATGCTAAAGACAGACTGGATTTTCTCTGATGAGGTTTATTTTCATAATAAAGAATTTAGATCTCAACAGCTGAGGGTTGATAAAAATAGCTGTATGTGTCTTCAGGACCTGAGGTTTCAGTGACTGGTTACTGGTGATTTAATTCTTTTCATTTTAAAACTTTTGAGAAGCAGAGTATTGCTGAAGGGATTTCAATGAAAGCTGCATGAAGACCTTATTATTATATGTCATTGATTTAGAATAAGAAAGGACTGCATCACCGAATTTTAGTTTACAATTTAGTTTACAATTTTCTTTATTATGAAAATAAATTGGTAAATAATATAAACAACTGAATTACTCACCTTGGTTAAAGCATTGTATCTTTATCCAAGATGCCAAGTAGATAGTTGGCTTTAAGAAAATTAGATGAAGGAGCAGGTTTGAGAAAGTAAGGAACTCAGAGTAGTTAGTTACCACATTTAAGGACTTACATGAACTTTATCTGTATCATCTTTATCTGTGTCTCTTATCCTTCTTTCTTCCCTTATATTGTTAAATACTTAAGGGAAAGTTATTTCTTTAATTTTGAATTTTTAACCATCTAACATAGTGTCTTGCATATAGTAAACTCAAGAATTTGAGCAAATTAAGAAATAAATGTGTGCTGAAGAAGTATCCATTGGGGATAGCGTTCAGAATGCTGGTTATTATGAAATCATGGCTCAGTTACATGAAGGAGCCACAAGGCGTGACACTCACCTTGAAGAGAGTTTAGAGCATGGCGACCAAGAGTCAGCTTTTGTCCAGAAAAGCAGAATTCTTGTTTGTATCTGAAAATTTGCCCAATATATATTTACTAAGTATGTATGTAGTTTTAAGTTACAAAAGTTTTTGTATACATAAATCTTTATGTTTATCTTCTTTGTCATACTTTTTTGTTGCTTCTTTGTCATACTTTTCCTCCTTTCCAAGTTTTAAGAAGATGGTAATGAAATTGTCTGGAGCTTGAGGTCATTCTCTAAATTTTGTCATTTGAACTTGGATTAATTACTTAACTAGGAGCTTTAAAATAAAACAGAAATAAGAACAGTAGGATACTGGAAACCAGTAATTTTTTTCCCACATGGACACAGGTAACAATTTAGACTTTGTTTAAAAAATAATCAGTCTTGGGAAAGAATTCCCTGGTGGTCCAGTGGTTAAAAGAGTGCTTTCACTGCTGAGGGGCCCGGGTTTAGTCTCTGGTTTAGGAAACTAAGATCCCACAAGCCTTGTGACCTGGCCTCTTCCCCCCAGCCCCATAGTCTGTTACTTATTTGTGAGAAGTAGTACAACATGAATTTGGTTTTGTTTTTTTTTTTTTTTAACATTTCATGAATTTGTTTTTATTTTTCATTATGTTACATTCACAAGTTGTGAGGAGAAAGATGTGCATATTTAGAGTTGATTCCTTTTTAGTTATATGAGTTTTTTAAATGGTATTCCCACATTGCAGAAAGTAAAGAGGGAAAAGAGAAGCCATCATTTCAGCTCCTGGTCTTCCTAATGTTTATATTTTGTTGTATATAGTTTTATTTGTTTAACCTACGTATGTTTTTGGTTATTATTTTATATACTTTTGTACTTTATTATGTTTTTATATATTTTATTTTATAAATATATTTTATACATTTTTATTATATTGTATAATATAAATATATTATTATATTTACTTTTGTTTTGTTTTGGCTGTACCCCACAGCATATGGGTTCTTAGTTCCCTGACCAGGAATTGAACCCGCATCCCCTGCAATGGGAGCATTGAATCTTAACCACAGGACTGCCAGGGAGGTCCCTGTTTTTGTTTATTTAAAACAGTGGCTATCATAGGTACATAAAATTATATTTTGCTTTTTCAATGTAGTTAAGTTTTCAACACTAGAATGAGTTACTCAGTAAATATCATTAGTTTGTGCAAGTATTGAGCAAGAGGATCTGAAAAATTTGGAAGCTTTTCAGATGTGTAGTATGCTAACCCTGTGATTCAATCTTCTGTTGCTAGTTAGGGGTCAGAATGTTAGATAGCAAGGGACCAAAGAAAAGAAAATGATAGAGTACAGTATATCTAAGGAAAAAAGCATAAAACAAATATAGTTTAGTTTTGTGAAGTTGGGAGTAAAACTAAGTCTGCATTTAATAGGACTGCAGAGATGTTTTGGAGAAAACATGTTTGTTTGTTCTGTGTACTAACTTGTTTTGAATAATTTTGATTTTCTTGTTTTTTTTTTTTACCCCCCTCCCCCCCGGTCCCATCTCCTGAATCTGCCTTGTTTTTGTTTTTTTTTTTTTAAAGAATGCCAGGCCAGAAACTGTCACTAATGATGACGAAGAAGCCTTAGATGAAGAAACAAAGAGAAGAGATCAGATGATCAAAGGGGCCATTGAAGTTTTAATACGGGAATACTCCAGTGAGCTCAATGCCCCCTCACAAGAATCTGACTCTCACCCCAGGAAGAAGAAGAAGGAAAAGAAGGAGGACGTATGTGTTACTGATTTATGCCAGCAGAATCATTTCTACAATTTATATTTTGTGCTGTCATTCTTGTGCTTTCATTACATTCCAACTTATGGGAAAATAGAGTGACTGGCATTTATAACAATATACTGTTATGGCTAATTTGACCATGTTTTATCGTCCTTTTTTTTTTAAACCAAAACATTCCTGTATTTACATTTTTGAAATGCAGTGACGTGGAAGCTTGTGTTTATTTGTGGATTCATTAAGTAAGGTGGGGGGAGGACAAACTTGAGTGATGGATAGGAATTAATATTAAGGAGTAAAGCTTCTTTTCCCCCCCTTTTGCCACGGAAGAGCTGGCCTTGTTTTGCCTTACTCCCTAATTATTTTTCTCTGCTCCAAGCGGGATACCAGATCTTGTTCATTGAGGATTCTGACCCATTTTCAAATTTCTTAGCCACTTTTCCTTGTAAACCATGTTTCATTTCACTCCATCAGCAGTAATGCTGTTGGCCTTACAAATGGAGCACTATGAAAGATCAATACAAGATGAAAACTCCTCTCCAGTATTTTATTATATCATCACCCACTTTTGTCAGTCTAAGCTAATTGAACAGTAGGGAGTGCAGGTTGAAAGAAAATGTTTGATTTTCTTAGTTACTTTCTTTTGGATATACTTCCAGAAATTATGGGGAGTGTTCCTTAAACATATTGGAAGGATATTCTATGAATGGATTGTATATGCCCTGTAAAAATAGTACTGTGAACATTGTGAATTAATATCAAGGCATTTTCACAGTTCATACTGTTCTGGATTTCATTGCCTTATTAAGCCATCTTCAGCTTTCTTTCTGATACATCAGACATATTTTTACTATTTGGCTGCTTCTTGCTTATGTGGCCATAAAACGCTGTCTAGTGAAGTGCCAATCGTTGGAAATGGTGATTGGTAAGAGTCCATTAGGTATAGGGTAATAGAGACCTGTAGAGTTTGTTCTTCCTCTTTCCCTTTTAATGGCAAAGGAGGAAATACGTAGACACCTTCATTTGAAATGGTTTGAGGAGAGAGAGTCAAAAATTCTGCTCTATGACAAGAATTATTGGGTAAACTTTGTTGTCTTGATTGTTCCTTCTGTCTTGGAAAGGATGAAGAAGGTCTCACATTGCTAGTGTGAGATCCTTCTTATTCCCCTGGTTGGGGGTGTTGGAAGGAGTGGAAGTGGTAGGTGATAGATTGAGTGAAATCTCTTTTGTTATCAAGTAATTTAAAATTAAGAAAATGTTACAGAAATCTGACATTGCTTACAGTATAAACATATAGAAAATTGTTTTTCAGAGTCATATGAACTGTTTGTTTTAATCTTTATGGATTTTTCCGCAGATCTTTCGCAGATTTCCCGTGGCCCCACTGATCCCTTATCCACTCATCACTAAGGTTCGTTTACATTAGGCTTTGACAGTAACTATATGTTTACTGCTACTTGCCAGATGTGTGATTCTTGTCTTCTTTACTATTTAACTTAGATTTGTTACTATATAAGGTCTTTTTTATTTACTCCTCTGTTTTGTAAAGCCTGTACAGAATATCTAGCCTTTAATTTCTATTTGTATCAATATAGATTGATCTTGATGCATTCCTACCTGTCCCCCCTATTTTTTAGGAGGATATAAATGCTATAGAAATGGAAGAAGACAAGAGAGACCTGATATCTCGAGAGATCAGCAAATTCAGAGACACACACAAGGTAGTATTCTTGTTTTTTCACTTGATACCAATCTAGACTTTTTACAGAATCCAAAGCAAACAGACAAAGAAAAAAAATCAACCTTACAGTAGAATATGATTTTAAATGCTTTTGTCTAGGTTTAATTTATACTTAGATAGAAACAAAGAAGCAGAAGACCAGTGCCATATTAGAGTAGTCCTTGGCATATTGTATGTAGATTTCTCAGTTACCGACTACTCTGCAGTCATCTCACTTTAATATGAATAAAAGCGAGTTTTATTTTTAGATTTCAACATAAACATCAAGGTCAGATTTAAACAATTCAAGGGGGCAGCAGAATAACATACACTGTAGTGTATTTCTGGGGGCAGTTATTTAACTTAATCTTAGGAAAACCTTTTCTTTAGAGCTGAGATTAAAATTTAAGATTATATTTGTATAGATTTAAGTTGAGAGGGGGAGATTTTAAAAAGTAGGTCAGTGGTTACCAGACTTACCAAATTTTAGATGCATGGAAGAACTGTAAATTCCCATAAAGCTAATCTATTCATTGACCCCCACCATTATGATAGAGATCATATGGTGACTAATGCAAGATGAAACTCTCAGCTTGGAAAGTAACAAGGAATAGGATGTAAGTATGAGCTTCTGTTTTTTATTATATTTATGGATGCCCCCTCAGAAAAATATGCAAAGGGGTAACTGGCTTGGAAATGGATATTTATGCATAGTAAATCCCACTCACGAGTTTTGCCTATTGAAAGCTTCTCTCAATGACAGTGCATCTGTGAATGTTCGCTGGTATTGAAGGTAATGCTTATGGACAGTGAAATGCAAACACTGCATGAAATGTATTTTGATGCTGAAGATAATAAGATGTTACTGGTTCTTACTCCTAAGATTGAGTGAGCTTTTACTCAGTGAGATGTTAAGTGTTCATTTTTTATTTTATTTAATCTTATATTTTCTTATAGCTTTCAAAATCCCTTATTGACAGTTAATGTCATAGAATCAATGCTGCTGAACACATTATCCTGATGCTGAGCCTTAGCTCACATACACAGGACTTTTCAGGAATTAAGTATGTCTAAAAGCACAAATGTAGATTTCCCAATTTAGAGTTAAAAAGTTAGTCCATGGGAAGTCATTTTAGAGGTATATTAGGTTCAGTACTCAAATTCAGGGTCTCCGTAAGCTTGAAAGTGGTATACAGTGTGTGTGTGTGGTTTGCCCCCCTTTTGTTGTATTTGTTAAATCCTGTCATGTCATTGGTTAAGTATGAAGAAATAATGTCTTTTAAAAATTGATTGCAAAGATACTTGCTTCAGAGTTTGAGAAGCTGTCAGGCGTTTGACTGCCTTACACATATTTCACTGTGGGGAGAGAATGTTTTGATTTTCCAAAATGTGCTTTAAAAATAAAATCAAAATGAAAAAGAAAAGCCGTTCTTTTTATTGGGTGGTACGGTTAAAAGGGATATTTGAAACTCCAGTAGCAAAAATTGAGCTCAGTGAACCTTTGCATGTTTTGGTATGAGTTTATTAAATAACCACAGACTGTCAGGGTGTCAGCGTGGCAGGGGGCGTCCATTTACAGCACGGACGAGTCTGAAGAGAGAATAAGGTAAGATTTATGTTTTTTTTTTCTGTCCTTTCCTCTTCATTATTTCACTACTTTCTTAAATCTTTTTAGACTCACTTCATTTTTTCTTTCTCCAGTCTTTGTCTTAAAAATATATATGTGTGTGTGTGTATCTATTTACTGCATATATATTAACTAATCTTTTAGAATTGTGTTTAGTATCGGTCAGATTCACTGACTTTTTCATTTACTTAGAAGAAAACTTTTGAAATGTGTTCTGAAACAAACTATTACTTAGTTAAATGGAACTATACTTTTAAGAAATAAGTGGTATAGTGATTAAGCAAAAGTAGAACAATTGAGGGAATCTACCAAAAAAATTATTAATGGAAGAGCTAAAATAATCTGTAAGTATTATCTCAGAAATAAACAAATTTCTTTTAAGTGTATGATACTGAGGTAAGTTTCATATAGTATAGCCTCATTTTATGATACATTTTTAAAATTTCATCAGATGACTGTTTCAGAAATTAGAATTTACCCATTTAAATAGTTTACAATTTCTGTCCTCTTTCTGCCATTTCTTCTCTCTTCTCTTTGTAATTTCAATGTATTCAGTATTGGCTTTGCCTCCATTCCATTTTGATATAGATTGGCACCACAGCTGAATATATTGATTTCTCATGCATTAGCTTTTCTTTCATAATCCTCTATCAGTTCTCTGATCCATGAGCGAGAGAAAAAGAGTATAACAGGTAAGATTGCTTTTTTAAAGTTGTTTTAAATGCTTTACATGACTGAGAAAAGAAAAAAATGCACATTTTATTGTTGTAATTTAAATTTCATTTCTGTGACACTAAACATGAAAACAGGAAAAATGTGTTTTGTTTTTGTTTTGTTTTCCCTGTTTGGGGTATTTTTTTTTTTCCCTGAGTTTGTGTAGAAACTGTGTGGTACACTGGTAATCTTGTCAGGGTACAAACTTGGTCTGACTTTGTTATTTGGTTTATTTGTGAACCATGTACTTGCTCTTCCTCCCAGAAGCATAGCTTATAGGCAAGGTTAATCCAGTGTTGGCGATCCATGTCCTAGCACAGCATCTGTAAGTTAATATGCAATCGTTCCTTCCAAGGATGGATTTATCACTGTTGATATATTTCATTGTCTTATAGGCGTAATGGGTATAAATATATTGCTTTAAAATTAAGCCAGAAATTAATCTTATTAAATAAAAATACTATGATTATGTACCTTTCTGCTTGAAGTGAGTGATTTTCAAACTTTTTGTATTTGGTGGGCTGTCCATCTTGCAATGGTGGGAGTAAATGTTTCCATACGTGATAGGGCAGATAATGGCTGAATTCACCTTGTCTTTTGGAGGGTGGGCAAATCAGAGGGCAGAAGACGAGTTGCATTCCAATGACCCTTACTCTCTTCCCCCACCTTCCCCTTTGAAACACTCAACTAATAATCTTTAGGTAATTGGAAGTCTGGGGTTATAGTTAGCAATAGTCATCCCACTGATTTAAAGAAATTCATAATGGGAAGAAGTACATGTTAGCCAAGTGATTGTATTTGTAGAAATTATTATGAACCACCACATTTCTCATGGTCATTTTAGTTATTACATAGTCATTGAGTGGTCAGCCACACTTGACAGTCTCCCAGCATCCAAGATTGGAGATTCCTGGTCTATGTGGAGTATATGGTTGTGCACGAAATCTGTCTAGGCTTGTGATTGCTTCAGTTTAATTTGTCAAGTAAAACCTCTAGTATTTAATGTTGAAGTACCAGTGGTTTGGTTTTGTTGTTGTTGTTCCCAGTATTGGGCATTGCGCCGGGAAAAGTCTGATTATTGGAGCTATAGAGTTAACTCTAAAAGTACTTTTATTGGTTTCTAGAAACTGGAAGAAGAGAAAGGCAAAAAGGAAAAAGAAAGACAGGAAATTGAGAAAGAACGGAGAGAAAGAGAGAGGGAGCGTGAAAGGGAACGAGAAAGGCGAGAACGGGAACGAGAAAGGGAAAGAGAACGTGAACGAGAAAAGGAGAAAGAACGGGAGCGGGAACGAGAACGGGATAGGGATCGTGACCGGACGAAAGAGCGAGATCGAGACCGGGATCGGGAGCGCGATCGGGACCGCGATCGAGAAAGGAGCTCAGATCGGAATAAGGATCGGAGTCGATCAAGGTAAGGCTGCATGAAGTTACTGTGTGCCTGATAGCTTTAACAGAATTACAGGTTAGTGCTCTTGGGCCATTTACATTGATGTGATGAGAGAATTTCCTGAGCCACAGAGCATGCCTGGCTTGCTGTCTCACACACATGTGAAATATTGGTTAAACAGTTTTCAACTTTGGGTTAGTTTTTGCATGAAGCCAGTTTTTACTCAGATCTAGAATACACCAGTTGTCCTCCCATTGTTTTGGATAGACATGATTCCCTTGGTCAGTGGGTGTTCTTTTTAGTCCCTAACTGAGGTCTCCTGTGTGGAAAATCAGCTCTAGTTGCACTGCTTTTAGTTCCTGGTGTTTATTTGGTCCTGTAGCCCACTGGTTGGTCACACCTTACCTCCCAGACAAGTTAGTTTTTTCTTAATGGTTCCTAGTGATTTCACTTTTGTTTTATTTAAAATTTATTTATAATTAAAGTCATTATATAGACTTTGTATGAGGTATCATCTCCAATTCTTCAGGAATGAGAGAGAGAGCAAAAATGAACAAAGAGAAGGGAGTGAGTAGAAGGAAGCAAACAGAAAAAGGGAAGAGAGGAAAGTTCACTTTTTTCCCAAGCTAGTTTTCATATATACATTTCTCTGTTGAGATATTCCACTTAATTGTAGCTGAAACGAGGTCCATCAGTTACTGAAATTCATTGCTTTTTAATCTGTAGTGGGCATTAAATTCCTTCCTCCCCTGGAATAACCATCATTCTCTTGAATAACCACTGTTAAGATTTGACATGTATAAAATCATGGTTTTATACTTTTACTAAGGTATGTTGTTTCATATATACATGTATTTGTTTAGAATCCGTGGCATCACAAATCTGCAGTTTGGTTTTATCCCTCTGAATTAAATGCATGATAACTTCTTAGTGCTGAAAGATGGACACTTTGAACCGTTGAACAATGCTGGGGTTAGGAGTGTCAACTCTGTGCAGTCAGAAATCTGAGTATAACTTACAGATGGCCATCCGTATACACGGTTTTTGTGTCTGTGGCTGTTCGTCCATGGATTTGACCCACGTCAGATTGCGTAGCGCTGTAGTACCTATGACTGAGAATAAATACGTGTGCATGCTCAGTTGCTCAGTCGTGTGTGATTCTTTGTGACTCCATGGACTATAGTCCACCAGGTTCCTTTGTCCTTGGGATTATCCCAGCAAAAATACTTGCCAGCCCAAGGACAGAACCCGAGTCGTCTGTGACTGTGGCATTGGTAGGTGGATTCTTAGACTCTGAGCTACCTGGGAAGCCCCCATATATAAGTGGACCTGTACAATTCAAACCAGTGTTATTTCCAAGAGTCAGCTGTAGTTCTAGTTTATGCATGCAGCATGCCGGAATGTTCTTTGCTTCACACCTTTGCCATTGTCTACTTGCTTGACCACTACTGAAGTTGACTATCTTGTATCATGTTCATCAGCCCTTAGTACTTTTCTTATTCAGGATTTTTTTGTTTGTTTTCTGAGATGCTGATAAGCATTAGCATCAAGTTTAGAATGCAGTGCAGAATTTGGGGCTAGGATTGTATTCTGTGTCTTTCTGACTTGTATGGAGGAGTTTACAATTCTGCAGAAACCAAATGCTAAGTTCTGGCTTGTGAGTTTGTCTATCATTTCATATTATATATTCTCCTTTCTTTTGCTTTCTAAAAGAAAACACAAAGGAAACTGACATATTTTTACAATCTTTTGTTTATGTAGAGAAAAGAGCAGAGATCGCGAAAGGGAACGGGAGAGGGAAAGAGAAAGAGAGAGAGAACGGGAACGAGAGCGGGAGCGTGAGCGAGAGAGAGAGAGAGAAAGGGAACGGGAGCGTGAGCGAGAGAAAGACAAGAAGCGAGATCGAGAAGAAGACGAAGAAGATGCATATGAACGAAGAAAACTTGAAAGAAAGCTCCGAGAGAAGGAGGCTGCCTATCAAGAGGTAAATTAAGGGAATGCTTTTATTTATAAAAGTTGGTACTTTAGTAGGTTAGTCAAAAATTTTAGAACCTTTTGTATATACATTTTAAAAACTTTTGACAATTTCTCTTTTTAGCGCCTTAAGAATTGGGAAATCAGAGAACGAAAGAAAACCCGGGAGTATGAAAAAGAGGCTGAAAGAGAAGAAGAAAGAAGAAGAGAAATGGTAATTTTCTTGGTTAAAAATAAGTGGTTTTTCAGATAAAAATCAGATCAAATCATTTAAGTAGAAGTGACTTTATAATTAAAAAGTATCATCTCAAAAAAACCTGAGCTCCAATATAAATAATTTTTATGTATTTCAAGTGAAGTTGAGACAGTTTCAGTACACCAAAATGTTTCTTCCTCCTAGTTTTCTTTTTTAAAATATTAATTTTTAATTGATTGCTTTACAATATTGTTTTGATTTCTGTCATACATCAGCATGAATTAACCACTGGTGTACATATTTTCCCTCCCTCTTGAGTCTCCCTCTTGCCTCCCTTTCTTCCTGTTTTTCATATTTTGGCTTCCTATAAACTAAATAATCATTTGGCACATTGTCAAAGTAAACCTGTTATGGAATAATGTATAAAATGAGGATTTATAGAACTTTCTTTGATTAAGAATCTGCAGCATTTTTTAATTGAAGAGAGTTTTAGAGGCTTTGATACTCTGTATCAGTGTAGTATATTTGGGCGAAGGAAACAGTCTTATGAGAAGATCTGTTTTTAGAAATCAAAATTACTGATTTCAGTATATAGCACTTAATGAGTTATTGTTTTTCCTTATGTTACTCTATTCTTCCTTTTAACTACATTATAATAATAATGAATCTTATTTTTTGCATTTACACTATTTGATAAACTAATAGTGAAGCAATTGGCATAGGTTAATGAAGTAAAATGACAAAAAGATAATATATTTTATCACAGTATTTGCTTCTATAGTATGTTCCGTATGTTCTGTCTTTGCCAGAGATTCATGAAAGTTTCTTTATCTCCAGTTTGGAGTCTATTCTCCCAAAAACATCATTAAAGTTAGGAACCTTCTTCAAATAGCTTTTAAACATGAGACATAGATGGAATTTTTGTAAGTAACCAAAGGGTGCATACAGCAATTAGATAGAATGGGCTTTCTGGATGGCAGATCTTTTGAAGTCCTAGTTATTTAAAGTAATTTTGATTTCCCTGGATTGTAGCTCCCATTCTAGAATTTCTTCTTAACCCTTAGGTTAGAAAGAGAGAATAATATAGTAAAAGACAAAATTGCTTTAAGAAGTGATTCCATTTCCTATAAGCAAATCTGAAACCTGTCTTTCTAGAGAAAGTTTTCCTATTAGTAATTTTTTGTTGGAAAGCTTTTAAAAAAAAACTCCAGTTAGAAAATAGTTACTTGTTGATTAAAAAATGTTCAAGGAACAGAAGTATATAGTATAAAAAGTGAAAGTTTGTATTCCTCATGAGCGGTGGGTGACAAGTTAATATTTTAGTACATACCTTATGGGTCTTCCTGTGTTTTATTTAGATATTTGTAAATATGGTCATCACTACCTGGCAATCTACTTGCATTCATTTGGCAGATTTTGTGTTAGGTCCTGGGTGTATAGGAATAACTAATACTTCGTACTCTTTGAACAATTGGATAGTATTGTCAGAGAAATGAAGTAGTTACTGTACTGCATGTGTGACTGTTTTGAGGTATGATAAAAGTGTTCACAATATTCTGGGAGTGGAGTACAGAGAAAGTGATTAATTTTGTCTGTGGGAAGGAGTTGGTCATGAATAGATGGTTAAATTGGGGAAGTTTTGTGTGTGTGTGTGTTGGGGGGGTAGTCTTTACAGCGATGTATCAATAACATTTGAACTGGATGAAATTATTAATGTTTTACTATAGGCAGGAACCTACATCTGCTTTTCATATAGATAATTGTTGGGCTTCCCAGATGGCGCTAGTGGTAAAGAACCCACCTGCCAGTGCAGGAGATGTAAGAGACTAGGGTTCCATCCCGGGTGGAGAAGATTGCCTGGAGGAAGGCTTGGCAACCCACTCCAGTGTTGCCTGGAGAATCCCCACAGACAGAGGAGTTGGCAGGCTACCGTCCATAGGGTCGCAAAGAGTCAGACGTGACTGAAGCGACTTAGCACACACACATAAAAGTTGTTAATATAGTAGAGATGTAGATTATTAATACTAATTTTAAAATACTTTTATATCTATATATAATGATTAAGTAATATTTCTGTGAAATATAATAGTAGTTGTATTTAAAATTCCAAAAATAAAAGCAAGAAATTTCTGTACCTTCATGTTTTATGTACTCAGTCTGGCATTACCTTTAGATTGATACATAAACATGATTTAAAATTTTAATCCTTCATTTCATAAAAACTACTTCTTGTACCATCATCTACCTATAAATGAAAGTGTAAAATATTTTTGTCCAGTCAACACATTCAGTAAGGTAACTTAGTTTTGTTTCTTGGTGTGCTCAGGTTTCATTAGAAAACAATCACTATGAAGATTATAATACAGAGAGAAAATTTAGTGTAGCATACACTGTGGTTTCCATTTCATAGATAAGTTCTAAGTCTGCTTTGCTTTTTAAAGGTTTTGCTTATTTTCAATTAGCTCTGGCTGTGCTGGGTCTCTGTTGTGCATGGACTTAGTTGCTTCATGGTACATGGGATCTTCCTGGACCAGGGATCAAACCTGTGTCCCGTGCATCGCACGGCAGGTTCTTAATCACTGGACTGTGAGGGAAGCCCTGATTAGCTTTCAAGAATAAAAGATTCTAAAAATCTAATGTTATTTACATTTAATATATGAAGTTGATGAGAATTAAAAAAAGTTCAAGTGGCATGGATAAGAAAAATCTGTTCCCAAGAAAGGGGGAAATGTAATTTAAACTGCTTTTATATTAATTTTCCACACTTTGTCCTTCATTTCTTCAAAGGCAAAAGAAGCTAAACGACTAAAAGAATTCTTAGAAGACTATGATGATGATAGAGATGATCCCAAATATTACAGGTAAAGGACCCTTGCTTTATGAACTCACACTATCAGTTTATTATTAGCTGTATTTTCTGCACCAGAGGGTGCAAGTTCACTCAGTGGAGTAAGAAAGAAAAATCTTTGAATTCGTCTTGTAATTACCCCCGTGGTCGTTAATGCTGTTTTCCAGGGGTTGGGGCCTGTTGGAAAAGAATTAACAATTTTATGGATCTTCTTTGGAAGGAAGTTTATAATAGTATTATAACAGATGAACTTTTCTTCATTCATTTTAAAGAGCTTCAGTTTTTATAGCAAATTTTAAAATGCCTTCATGATTATCTAAGGTGGTCTAGAAATTTTTGTCTTCAAGGATTTCTAGAGTGCTACGTAGTAATCTGAGTAGTTACTTTACTATCATGATGTGAGATTTGTGAAGCCTGTCTTTTCTCATCTCTGTTCCCATGGCTTTTCTCGACTTCTCTCATTCTTCCAACACTTACGGCACTGTGGTGAAATTGTTTGCTTTGCTCTGTTCCCTCCACTCCAAACTACTACTTCTGTAAGGTTATGGGCATTGTTTCGATTTTTTTTCTTCTCACTTTCGTGAAAGAATCTAGGCATGTAGTGAATGCATTTAATATGTATAATTTAATACACTCTAGCCAAAATAATCCAAACAGTGGAGTGACACCTTATATTGAAAGAATGCCAAGGGTTTGACTTTGTAGAAAACGCAAAATAAAATTACTGAATCATAAAATAGCAGTACATTATTTCAGTATTCTGAGATGTAATAAAGTGCTAGATAGAACCTCTGCTTTCTCTCAGTTATGCCCTGCTTCCTTCTGTGATTTTTTTTCCCCCCCCAGGAGGAGAGGAACTGATTTAAATTGAACACGCATCGCTTCTCAGCCCTTTGGTTAAGATTAAGTGTAAATTAAACACACAAAACTATTATTAGGGATATTACTACTCCTTGTATTAATGTTTCACAATTTGGCATCCAAGAAAATTATGTGTTATAGAGTATCCCTGTGGAATAGGTATAAAATGAATGCATTCTTCCCTCAGAAAGCTACTTTTTTTTTTAACCTGTTTTCGATACTCATTTAGAATGACTTCATTCTGAGGCACGGTGATATGTGACAACACAGTGCTTACTTATTAAGCATTAACCTGTAGAGAGGATGCTGTCTTGGATGTTTTACAGATAGAGAGCATTAAGACAGTCTCTAGTCTCTTAGAATGCAGCTTTTAGTATGGAAAGAAATTGCTTTTGGAGATACTGTGTGTAGTAGTTGCTGACCTTGAGTATTAAGTAAGGCCTGTTGTGATATGCTTTTGCAGAGGAAGTGCTCTTCAGAAAAGATTGCGTGATAGGGAAAAGGAAATGGAGGCGGATGAACGGGATAGGAAGAGAGAGAAGGAAGAGCTGGAGGAAATCAGGCAGCGCCTTCTGGCAGAAGGGCACCCGGATCCAGATGCAGAGCTCCAGCGGGTAAGATTCTGTTAACATCTGAAACAGTGTTCTTTTAAGACTGTCGCATCATTTTAAGCCAGCCAGCTATGATGGAGTTTGCTTTATAAGGGAAATGTTTACTGTCCATGCATCTTGCTACTTTGGGGGAAGATATTAGTACTTTTTCTTTATTATGCAAGTCATCTGTATTAGTTGATTACAGCATTATTTTCAACATCTTCTGTATGTCTTATTCCTTTATTTCTGTGAAGTATTACTTGTTAAGTGAATGTCTTTTAATGTAACTTTATTTACAAACCTGTCTTTCCTATATGTTATCTTACAGTAACTTTTGTAGTTCTCTTGTTGCCACCTTAAATACTTTGATTCCAAAATAAAGATGTTTTCCTGAACAGCTTGTCATTTAAAAGGGAAAAAGGAAAACTCTGTAGTAGGATATGGCATACCAATTCTTGCTTTTAAGAATAGTGTGTCATATTAGAAAAGTTTTTACTCTTAGTGTATCATGAATTTAATACTATAAATTCTTCATGTCAACTTAAAAAAAAAAGTTATGCTATTAACAGAAACCCTGTCTTCTTACATGTCCCTTCTATTTTTCACAATGAAATAGTATTTTTTCTGTTAATTAGGTACTTACATGAGTAAATAGAAACTTGAGACAACATAAACCCAGTAATGAAAAACTGATTTCTTATCAATCAGTTATAATCATTTTAAGTGTCTGGTTATTTTAAAATGTTTTCACACATGTATACATACACCGCCGCCCCTCCCCCCCCCCACACACACACACAAGCTTTGTAAATGGGAATATAAAGGTGTTTTCTAATGTACTTTTTTATTCTTTTTAAATTTTTATTGAAGTATGGTTCACATACAGTATTATATTAGTTTCAGCTGTTTAGCAATTTGACGTTTATATACTTTATTAATTGATATGTCTAGTAACCAAGTAACCATCTATCACCAAACTAATATTATTATTATAACAGTATTGACTATATTCTTTATAGTGTATGTTACATTCCCCATAAGTTTTTTTAATAACTGAAAGTTTGCACCTCTTAATCCCCTTCACCTATTTTTCTCTGATCCCCTCTGGCAGCCACCAGCTTGTTGTCTATATCTGTGAGTCTGTTTTGTTTTCTGATGTGCTTTTGCATCAGGTGTAATCTTCTACACAGAATTTCTCCAGTTTTTGGCCCATGTATCTTTTGTCTATCTATGGCTGTGCTGGGTTTTCTGTAGTTGTGGTGAGTGGGGGCTGCTCTTCAGTTGTGGTGTGCAGCTTTCTCGTTTTGGAGACTTCTCGTTGTGGCTCTTGGGCACTAGGTCACATGGGCTTAGTTGCCCCTTGGCATGTGGGTTCTTAGTTCCTGAACCAGGGATTGAACTCATGCCTCCTGCATTAGCAGGCAGATTCTTAACCACTGGACCATCAGGGAAGCCCTCCCTGCCCATGTGTCTTTTGTTCTGTACCCTCATCATCATGACAGTATTGTTAGTATTTTAAATCCTTACCATTGTATCATTTAGGTTGAGGAATGTTATTATGTTTTAATTTTCTGAGTACCTGTGAGTTTGAATGCCATGCAGATTGTTTAGTGGTCGTTGTACTTCCTTTGTGAGTTGATAGATGATGATACGCACAGACTTTAAATTTTTTTGTAGTTCATGATACATATTTTTACTTTTGTTTTTTCTGTTTTTGTTTGTTTTCATGCTCAGAAAACTTGCTAGTCTGTTCATCCGTTTTTATAATACTCTTATGGTTATATTTTATTATATTTTGTGGCTTCAGGGGGAGTGTTCATTTTGATATAGGACTTTGACTTCAGAATTCTCCCTCTGTGCCACTTCTTCTTTTCCTATTTGTGAATGTACCTTCAGCCATTATCAAGAAATAAAAAATGATTATATATGACCAGGCTGAGGATTTGAGTTGCCCCTTATGTATTGTCTGTACTATTCTAAAATTTGTGATTATAATTTCTTTAATAAAAATATAAAAAGACTTTTTCACTTTGAATTAGCTGACTATTAGCAGTTAACCTCTGTTTTCTCTGAAAAGTGGATATAAGCCATTGAAGAATGCTAATATGTGAAATACTAAAAAAAACAAACATTTTGCAGAGTACCTAATATATGTTGTAGATTTACAGATTCTGATTATAGAAGGAGGCAGTGTTTTATTCCTAGTGAAAAAGAAAAATAGAGGTTTTGTGAAATGTAAATAAAACATAGAGCTGGTTGAATTGAAGACAGTTGGGTTTGTTTCAGTTAACCGGGTTATTTTCTCGGTTTTTAGATGGAACAAGAGGCTGAGAGGCGCAGACAACCACAGATAAAGCAAGAACCAGAATCTGAGGAAGAGGAAGAAGAAAAGCAAGAAAAAGAAGAAAAACGTGAGGAACCTGTGGAAGAAGAAGAGGAGCCAGAGCAAAAACCTTGTCTCAAACCAACTCTGAGGCCCATCAGTTCTGCCCCATCTGTCTCCTCTGCCAGTGGCAATGCAACTCCCAACACTCCTGGGGATGAGTCTCCCTGTGGTATTATTATTCCTCACGAAAATTCACCAGATCAACAACAACCTGAAGAGCACAGGCCAAAAATAGGACTAAGTCTTAAACTGGGTATGTTAGCATTTTTTTTCCTTCATTTCCCCACCCCCTTACAACTACCTCAATTTTGCCTTAAGGAAAAAGTAAATATGCGCTGCTTGGTAGGTAGATAGAAAAAGATTATTTAAAAATGCCGTTCTAGCTCACAATTGTTTTCATAGTTCTACTAGTGCTCCTATATCTGCAGCTGCCTCGAGTTCTGAGAAGAAGTGAAAAGTTAAATTTTCTAGCACTTGTGAGTAGTGAGTTATTTTTAACAGTTGGGATCTTTCTCTGAGATTTGTGGAAGTACTTTTACACTGCATTTGAGGGATGGTGGGTTGTATAATGTAACATTTGAAGATTAAGTTGCCATGCTAATACAGTGTTTTTACTATAGGTGCTTCCAATAGTCCTGGTCAACCTAATTCTGTGAAAAGAAAGAAGCTCCCGGTAGATAGTGTCTTTAACAAATTTGAGGATGAAGACAGTGATGATGTACCCCGGAAGAGGAAACTGGTTCCCTTGGATTATGGTGAAGATGATAAGAATGCTGCCAAAGGCACTGTAAACACGGAAGAAAAGCGCAAGCACATTAAAAGTCTCATTGAGAAAATCCCCACAGCCAAGCCGGAGCTGTTTGCCTATCCCCTGGATTGGTCTATTGTGGATTCTGTGAGTAGCAAATTGTATCTCACCATTTTATTGCAAGTTCTTGGTTCTGAATACAGCACATAAACTCAGTTTAAGTAGGGTGATAATGTGGCTTAGAACCTTGACGTGTGCTGTGCTTAGTCACTCTGTCATGGTCCACCCTTTGTGACCCTATAGACTGCAGCCCGCCAGGCTCCTCTGTCTATGGGGATTGTCCAGGCAAGAATACTGGAGTGTTTTTCCATTCCCTTCTCCAGGGGATCTTCCCAACCCAGGGATTGAACCCAGGTGTCCTGCATTGCAGGCGGATTCTTTACCAGCTGAGCCACCAGGGAAGCGCAGAGTCTTGAAGCTCAGTGATAACACGTTATTGTGAAAAGTCTTAGTGGTGCTTGAAGTCTTTATAAATTAGAAGCAAATAATTGTATCTTGATACATACTTGTTTTAGTTCAACTTGTGAATGATCTTGCTCCTCTATATTTTAGCTTTAAGAAAAATTAAGAGATTATTTAGGCTTTTTAAGTAGTGTAATAAAAAGCTCTTCAACTTAGTGTCCATGCTTTATTTTACAGATATTGATGGAACGACGAATTAGACCATGGATTAATAAAAAAATCATAGAATACATAGGTGAAGAAGAAGCTACATTAGTTGATTTTGTTTGTTCTAAGGTTAGTCTTTTATGTTTTCCACCTCCAATATTTGTTACATACTTTAAAATGTTAGAGACTTTCTAAATTGAATTTTTTGTTGGGCCTAGTCATAGATAATTTAGTTTTAATTAACAATTTTTATGGCTACTTAAGTGTACCCCTCTATTCAATTTGAGACCCCACACCGAGTGCTTTCATTTCAGAGGGTCAAAGGAGACAGAATTGCTGGCTACTACCAAGTTTGCTCTCTCCTTACCCTGAGAATGCCCTGTCACCAACTTCTTGTCTTAATGTTGAATGTTGCTGAAGTACAGTTGAGGTTTAGTGGAGACAGTCACTTGTCTGTTTTTTGTCAGTCATCCATTCTTTGGAAAAGAAGCAAAATCGTGTCCTTCATAGCATAGTAATGGTGTTAACTGTCTGATTATTGTGTGCAAGGCTTCTTCCCTGGCAAGTCCTTTGTTAAGCATTTTCCAAAACTTTATCTTTTTTAAACCTCCCAACAACCATAGGAAGTGTAAGTTTCTAACATTGTCCCCATTCAGTACATGAAGAAATTGAGACTTGGGGAGAGATTGTGTCTTGACCGTGGTTATATAATAAGCAGCAGAGCCAAGTCTGTAAAAGTCATGCTCTTGACCAGCAGAAGATAGTCATCCTTTTATTGTCCTCTAAAGGCCCAGTCTTATCTTTAATAAGATAGTTACTATAGAAGCACTATATTTCTACAAAGGAATAGCTAATTGCATTTTAAGGAAGTGCTGTTTTCTCTCATTATTGTTCCTTTAACATCAGGAATAGCAAATTATCTTTTCCACTTGTAGTTATTGTAGCATAAACATTTGTAAGTCTAGGTTTGAATTAGAAGACAGATATGTAGTGATAAAGATCTTAGGTTTTGGTGTCAAACTTTCATTGAAAAGAGGGAGATTCTGGGAGTTTAGAAATTTATAGAATTCTTCAGTCACAAGTTTTCATACTAGTTTGAGGATACATTAAAAAATCTTTTTACTGTATTGTTAATGTTTTATTTTCAAATTGACATTCATTTTTTTTTTCTATTAGGTTATGGCTCATAGTTCACCTCAGAGCATTTTAGATGATGTTGCCATGGTAAGAGAAAATTTACTGTTATTTATATTTTAATTTAAGATCAGTATAATCAAACTTGCTCCTCTGAGTTTGAATTTCTACCTGTATTGGTTCTAGACTCTTTCAAGGACTGAATTAAAATTTGAGTATGCATTAAGAGGTTAAAGGTATTCACAGTATCATTAGACATCAGTAGAGTTAAAGTTTTCTTTTTTATCAGTCTCTTCCTTCACCTGTCTTTAGTATTTGTGTGTATAAATATAAATTCTGAATCTATTCATACATTTAGAGAATATTTATTAAGTGTTAACTCGGTAGAGCAGTGTGCTTAAAAGCACAAAAAGATGGAATACCTACCCTTAAAGAACTAGCAGGGAAACAGGTATACCAATATCTATACTACAGCATATTTAATATAATGGGTGTATGTAAAAAAAATAATGACCAAAAAAAATAATGTAGGCAGAGGAGATAGAGCTGTTAGGTAGTTGGAGAAATCATCACAGAAATTACCATATAAACTGAGGCTTGAAGATTGTGTAACTCTTTTGTTACTTGACCAGGTGTCTGTTGGGTTGGTGGTAGTTTAAAGGATACAAGTGGTGAATTGGTCCAGATAATGGCAAGGTGCAGAGTATGGCCATGGGAGTTTCTGGGGCAGAGCTGATGTCATTGTTTAGAATATCAACAAACTTTAAGCTGGGTTATAACACATAGAATTTGAAATCACTGCATGTTGGGACTGGAATTGGAGAGAGATGCAAGAACCAGCTGCCGTAGTGCTCATTTAATGTGGATGCAAGACTAGATATTTCCTAGACAGCTGCTGTTGGAGTGAAGGGGTGGTATAGTGAGGTCTTGTGAACCTCAATGGAGATACTGTTTACAAGGAGAGAACCAGTGAAGATCTAGCAGCTTTCCCTCTGTTGTGGAGACTTAAAGCCTTGAAAGTGAGGAACTTCCTCAGAAGGCCACAAGACTGTTAGGGTGTTCAGGGGTCACATCAGGTTTTCAGTTAAGGTAAGGAGATGAAAAATCTTAACTGTTGAGGATGGTTAGTATAAAGTGAAATAGAATCTAAAGGGTTGAGTGGGAAGGTAGTAATGGGAAGAAGAGCCAGAGAGGAAGAAATGTCAAGCATGATACGAGATAATAGGTGATCAGGGAAACTTTTATTTTGAGCTGCAATTAAAGTTGTCAGGGAGTGACATAGGGGGTTGCCTAACCAAAAGGAGCTCTAAAGATATTATGTGTTCAAGCACTTCATGATGTCTAAAGCCAGATAACATTACTTTTCTGTTGCCTAGCTAGCCTAATGTATCTATTTAAAATTCCTGGGGGGAACATTGTGAAGAGCTTTTGGTTTTGTAGTGCTAAGCCTCAGATGAAAGAAATGTGAATAGATCCTTAGGGATAGAATGTTCTTGACCTTCCAGCCTGCCTTTATCTTTATCCTTCGGGTAAAGAGAGGGCTTTGTAGTTACTCGTGAGGTATGGAATTTAAAAAAAAATCAGGGAATTCCCTGGCAGTCTAGTAGTTAGGACTCCACAGTTTGACTCTCAAGAGCCCAGGTTGTCTCTGGTTGGGGAACTAAGATGTACAAGATGTGCAGCCAGTAGGAAAAAAAAAATCAGTGTTCTGGTTTGCCTTGGCAGGGATATAATTACTGCTGGTGAAGATGACATATGTCACTATTTTGATCTGTTGAAATAGTTTGATTTTTGGAGTATAATTAAACTACCATTTAATCACTTACGTTGTTTTTAACTATTTTCTATTTCATTGTTGATCACAGTGGGAGGAAACCAGTTGGGTTAGTGTTGTCAGCTCCTTCTGGTGATAGCTCATGGACCGTCTAAATATTTCTTGAATAAATGAGATTGAATATTCAGTTCAAATAATATCTTGTTCTTATTAGCAATCTGACTTTCTCAGACTGTACCTTCACTCATTTTACGTAAGCTAATGAACTTTGGCTGCATTTTTGTGCATATAACTATATTATGTCCAGGGTACAATTCCACGTTAGTATTGCAGCAAAGTTGTTTTTCTTTGGCTGTGGGACCCCAGGGTTTGAACCCACACCCTTGGCAGTAGGAACAAGGAGTCCTCTATCCCTTGGACCTCAAGGGAATTCCTGAGCATGGTATTTTTAAATTATAGGTTAAGTCTAGGTCGTGGACATCTGGTTTAAGTTCTTTTTTTTTGTCATCACTGAGAAGTGCAGGGTAATTTTTCAGAAAAATCAAATTTCTGGTTTGTGTTAGGTACTTGCTGTACTAAGCACTCTTCAGAGCACTTTGTACATACTGTCTCTTTTAATTCCCATAGTAGAACCAGTATGACGTAGCTGCTGTATCTCCGTTTTACAGATAAGAGAACTGAGGCTCACTGTAATTAAGTATCCCAACCAAGAGCATGTAACTGGTAGGAGGGAGAAGTGGGATTTGAATCCAAGTGATTTTTAATTTATTTATTTTAATTGGAGGTTAGCTACTTCACAATATCGTGATGGTTTTTGCCATACATTGGCATTGACCCCAGGTACGCGTGTGTCCCTGCCGTCCTGAACCCTGCCGCCACACCTCCCTCCCCACCCTCACCCTCTGCAGGCAGCAGAGGAGACACAGATGTAAAGAGAAGATTGTCTGATGTGCCAAAGGGAAAGGACCTTTTATTCATTCAGTAGTCTTGTGTCCCTTGGGAATGAGAGTGTTCATTTTGTTTACTGTATCCCAGATAACTATATTAAAATGCTATACATGTATTCTCATTTAATATTTCAGTGTCATATATAATAAGGGCTCAGTAAATGTTAAGATTGTGAGGTTCTTGGGGAGAGGGTAAGTGAGATACTCTGTACTAAGTATTAGGTGATTATATAACTAATTTGTCTGAATGACTATATTCTTTATAACAAACATGTGGTTTCCTTAGGAAATAGTTATTCAAGACATGTATAAGTAAAGTAAATGCTTGTTGGTAGAGAAAAACTTTTTTATTCCATTTACCTTTTTGGGAGATGCTGGTGATTGCTTTTCTTACATGTATAACTGGCTTTTTTGTTTTTCCTTTTCTAGGTACTTGATGAAGAAGCAGAAGTTTTTATAGTCAAGATGTGGAGATTATTGATATATGAAACAGAAGCCAAGAAAATTGGTCTTGTGAAGTAAAACTCTTTGACATTAAGAGTTCCATTTCAGATTTCTTCTTTCCCATCCTTCAAAGGACTTTAAATTTTTTTTTTTGTCTTCAAAGACATTTGTGAGATCTGTAATTTTTTTTTTAATGTAGAAAATGTGAATTTTTTTGTCCTCTAATTTGTTGATGCCATGTGTACTCCCTTGGTTGTAAAGACATCTGAATCCTACCATGGTTTTCTTTATACTCACCAGGTACAAATTACTGGTATGTTTTATAAGCCGCAGCTACTGTACACAGCCTATCTGATATAATCTTGTTCTGCTGATTTGTTCCTTGTAAATATTAAAATGACTCCCCAATTCTTATGCAGAATTGCACTTAATATTGAACTGTACTGTACAGGCACCAACATGAATGATTTTAAATTGAAAACATAACCAGTCATACCTTACCCTTACCTCCTTGATCAAAAATGGCAGGCCCTCATGATGGCATGAAATTTAGAGTGTGAAAATTAGCAGACAATCCATTCCTACTGTATCTCTGTATGAATGTGTTTGTGTGAGTGTATGTATAAAAGTCTTACTTTTTCCTAGTTTGCTTTGGAAATTTCCCTTAAACATTTCCTAATTCAAGAATAGAATTGTAAAGGAAACATGGTATTGTGCCAGTCCAGATGTCTGGGATAATTGGGTTATTAGTCTCCCAGAGCATGGTATTCTCCTATGGCAAGCAACAGTCTATTGAATGAAATGGGTTTTTCTGTTGATAGCTGGCTGTGTCAGCCTCTCCTTACGGGAGTGTGAATCATAGTGGTTTTCCCCCCTGATTTCATTGTTCAGAAATGAGGCAGATCCTTAGAATCTGGAGAGCTTTATTTTATGCAATTTTTTTTGCACTTCATTGATCCTTAGTTTAATTTTGATGTACGCCTTTGTTTTAAAAAAGAAAGCTTCATTCAGAAAGCATAAATGAAAAAAAATCTTTAAAAAATTATCAAAAGATAAAATTAGGCAATTTTACAGGCTAGAAAACATTTGACAAAATACTATAGCAGTTTAGCATGGCAGTTTACACAGTTTACATCTAATTTCTAAGGATAAAGTAAGTTGTTTAAAGCAGTTACCACTCATTTGTGTTTGTCAGGGGTTTATATCTTGTGTGTGTATATGCAGGCACACACCTTGTTTACTTCTCATCAACGTTCAAAACTGTACTGATTGTGTTCTTAGAGATACACATGAGGCTTTCTTTATTATGGATCAGGACTTCACCAGGGAGCAAAATTATCCCAAACTGTACCAAGTTTTAAACAGTTCTTAACAGAAATTAGGTGCAGCTATTCCCATGTCTGAGTATTTTTAAAAAAGATTGAGGGGGTGTGTTAAACCATAAAAAGCATAACTGAACTTGAATTACAGGAGTTTTTTTACATCTTAAGAGGACATTTGAAAACACTGTTCTTAACACTGAGCCATGATGTGCATGGCTCCATTATGTAAATATATCAGGTATTAAAAATGTATATATTTGATCTTGGGGACTCATTCTTTCAGAGTCTTGTTAAATAAATGGCATCATGTTGTAATTATGCAGTGCATACTAGAAACTTAACTTGAAAATATGGGCTGAATTTTTGATGGACTGGATTTTTGAGTATTAGTACCTGAAGGTGCGAAGAGGCCATTTCCCTTATTTTGAATTAGTCTAGACATCTATGGAGATATATCCCCTTTCAGTGTTAAAATATTTTAACTTGTTTCTGAAGGGAAAGTTTTAGAAACATGTTCCTTGCCATTTAGAAATTAATTTGCCAGTCTTTTCTCAGATTGATCCCCCAGTGTAACTCCTTGTTTGAGCAGTTTATTATGCCTCTCTATCCTCTCTCACACATTATTGCTTCAGAGACATCATATTAGGTTGGTTTTATTTAGCCAGCATTAGCATGGAAGTTTATTCAGGTAGATTTAATTTTCCTTGCTTTGGTCTCTTCTGCTCTTTCAATCATATTTACCTTAAAAGGGTCCTCATGTGAAGCCCTTAGGGGCACATACTATATACTGCATGATACCTCCAGTGAGATTGGTGTCAGAATCCCAGATTTATATATTAACATTTCTGCAGCAAATGATTTGATCTGACTGATCATTGAGTTAAAGCTTGCTGCATTAATCATTAAATGTCAGTTCGAGTCAGATTTTGCCACCAAGCTTAAACTTCAGGGTCTTCAGAATTTTTCAGGTTTGTATGCAAAGAACTGGATATCTATAAGCATAAGAACAAGCTGGCATACTCTAGTGTCAGGAATATTACACTTAAGAAGATTTTTACTAGATCCCTTGAACTTTGTAGGTTGTCTTTACCATTTGTCCATAGATTAATTTCAAATTGGAACCCTTAGTTAATCCATATATTGCCCATTCAAGTTGTTATAAAATTACATGAAAGTCTTGACAGCCATTCTGATGTGGCAGCTAGGAAATACATATGCTTTTTCTTCACCCTGTAAATAAAATAATTTTAAATGTGTACATCTGTCTGCAGGAAGAAAGTGTTTTTTCCCAAACTTTAACATGCACCTGAATCACCTGGGGGATCTTGTTAAAATGCAGACTTAGTAGGGGCTAGGATGGCCCTGAGACTTTGCCTTTCTGACCAGCTCCCACATGTTGCCAGTGCTAAGTGATATAAGGACTACTTTGATTGGCAGTTCAAAGTGTCAGTACTGGTATTTAATCCTATCAGACTGCATAAATGCAGCTTAATTTTTTTTCTTTTTTTCTTTTTAAGTATATTAAAACCAGTTTTTGAGGCAAATGATAGGTACATAAAACATAAAAGTAATCTTCCAAAAGGATGCCCCAGAACAGCTCCAATATTCTAGACTTTATTCCCAGCCAGCCCCAGAACATACTCTCTTTAGAGAACATTATGTTGTTACTCATTCTGAATCTTATCAGAGCACTTACCCATATGTGATAGTAGAGGCTGATGATTATTTTGTGGAGAGTGCAGTTTCAGGGACTAATCAGGCATGAATAGTAGATATGGTAGACAAATTGAGAAAACAATAAACTCAAGAGTCAAACTGGACTAAACACTATTATCATTTTTTCTCTAATATGAAGAAAATTTAAATTTAGATAAATGCAAGCAGGTATACAATGTATGTATGAAGCTTATTTACCCAGCTCTTTGATATAAGTTCTATGAATGTTTCCACTTTCTACCTAAAAACTGCTGAAAGGTTTTAATGTCAAAATGGTTGTACATTTTTCCAAGTCATATTTTAGCCTTCTATTAATATGAAATTGAGAAATTGTTTTGCTTAGCAAAAGATGGTGAAATTGATTTGTGAATGCCACTAGCTATAAAAAGGTATTAGAAGGAATTCCAAATAGGCTAAGAAATAGTCTTAAGTTTCAGGAAGAAAACTAGGAAATGTACACACAGGTTTTTTTTCCACACATATTTTTAAACCCAGGAACTATTACATTCACACTAGAAACCAAGGTGAACTTGGCGTATAGTATTTTGATAAACTGGTAGATTTTTTGAATTGTGATTGTATTAAATTATTGAAATATTTATTTGCATTTGAATGCATAATTTTAATCTTTAAAGGTCCTTTGCCTTTTGTTTTTATTGACTCATGAAGACTAAATTAGGAATGGCAATCTAAAATATCCAGGAAGAAAATAATTTCTGTATATAAAAATGAATAAAAATTCTTTTCAAGCCACATTGTTTAAATGACACTCCACAAGTCTATCTACTCTGCCACATCGTGTATTATTTGAATAAATGGCTTCTAGATTCTCTTGCACAGAGTAGTAGCTGGATTATTAAGTCAGGTAGCCCTTTTGTCTTTTTGTGTATGACATATTTGCCATTGAAGCACACTTAATATGTGCCATTCATGTTTTAAGCTAGATGGAGTGATAGACATAAATAAGGCAAAATCCCTGTAGTAGCTGACAGTCTAGTGGTGGAGAAAAAAATGAGAAGATCACTTACAGATATACAGTGTACACTATATGAACTGTCAAACTTGATGTGCTGACTTCAAGGTTGGGAGGCAAGGGATAGGAGGAAGCTTCTCAGCAGAGGTGGTAATATGTAGACCTTACAAATCAGAGTCTTTTTCTTTTTGGTTGTGCTGCATGGCACATGGGATTTTAGGTTCCTGACTAGGGACTGAATCTGGACCCTCAGCAGTGAAAGCGTAGAATCCTAACCATTGGGCGGTCAGGAAATTCCCCAGATTCCACAGTCTTAGCTACCAGTGCAACAGTGCTATAATGTTCTTTTTGTTGGATATTTAAAGGGCCTGGATATTGGATTATAATTCATGGTATAGGTCTGCACTGTCAAGTTTAATTCATTAAAATTAAAATTTAAAATAGTTTTCAATTACACTGGCCATATTTCAAGTGTTCAGAAGTCAGGTGTGACTAAATTGAATTTTAAAATCCAGTTTTTTATTTGCAATATTCATATTTAAAGGTCCTCAACAGCCATATTTAGCTAATGGCTACCAATATTGAATGGACATTACAGATTAAAGAATAGTATTCTGATTGCAGAAATTTATTTTGGATAGGTATGGTCTTGCTAATAGCCACCTAAAGGCAGAGGAAAGTGCTTGTTAATAAATTTCCCTTATAGAAAGCATTTTTAGCAAATCTTTGAAGCAAAAGTATTGTGAATTTAAAAATAGTTCTAAATGACTTTTCCTGTTTTTTTCTTGTCACAAAAGGAAAAACTAGTAAACACTTCATTTAGAATCTAGAAAACATGAAGTTTCATTTTTTTTCCTTGTCAATTAAAAACTTTTGATTGTTACCATGGGTGAAAAAGCTAGATGTGAACGTTTCATTTTGAGTATATTCTTGAGGCAAAGTTGTCTTCTTTATAAAGGGGGTCCAGGTTCTTTGTTAAGAAGGAAATTAGAGTTAATAAAATATTGACAGTCATACAGAATTTAAGACTGAAAAAATAACAAGATGAGTAAGATAAAGCCAGCCCTTCGTTTTGAGCTGTTTAAATTTAAGGAGCTAGATCCTACTTTACTTCCATAGCAAACAGGGCAGTAATGTATAAATAAAGACAAACTGTCTTTATGTGGGAAGTGTTAATAAATTGGATTGCTTTGCCTTGGAATCTATAGTGTAAAGAAGTGGCCTTGGTCCTGACTTTATGGACTAGTGACTGCTCTAGCCTTTCTAGTTTTGAACAGCCCCTCTCCCCAAGTAGTTCTAACAGGTCCGGTATCCTGAATTTCCCATCTGCCTCATCTTTCACTGCTTATTACTGATTTTTGCCACTTTTTTCCTTTTTTTTTTGTCATTTGTTTCTCCATCCTCCCAAGTTCCAGACGTTTCTGGGGAAAATATAAAAGCACAACTGCAGGTAGTCTGGACCTTGTATTTTATTTTTCTCATTCTTTTACTGAACTTCACTTCTTAATCACAAACACTGCGGTTTTTATTGTTCTTAAATTTCCAGTGCTGGAACTTCCCTGGCAGTCTAGTGGCTAACACTGTTGTTCCACTGCAAGGGGCACAGGTTCAGTCCCTGGTTGTAGAACTAAAATCCCACATGCTGTGTGGCACAGGAAAAAACAAACACAAAAAACTTCCAGTGCTGTCTTAGGTATGAATGAGTGAAAGTTATTTGATCTTCCCCCTTACTTAACCAATAATCTCACATTAACAAAATCTTAACTTTCATTTAGGTATAATCTGCAATTCCAGCTCTCCATTTTATGATAGGCATCTTGAACCTTTGCTTTCTATTCAGAAGACCTCCCCTACTCCACTTGTCTCTGGTTTCTAACTAGTTTGCAATTTCTTGAGCCTTGCTCAGGTATTTTCATTATCTTCCTTCTTCCTTCTGTCTGAAATAAGTTTTGAAAAACACAGGAAATTAACCTTAGGTCCTCCCTTCCCTTTTCACTACACTTGAGATTCCATAAGCTAGCTTACAGTTTTATGTGTGCTTCACATTTCCTAAAGTGAAAAAGTGAAGTCACTCAGTCATGTCCAACTCTTTGTAACCCCATGGACCATAGCCCACCAGGCTCCTCCATCCATGGAATTTTCCAAGCAAGAGTATTGGAGTGGGTTGCCATTTCCTTCTCCAGGGGATCTTCCCGACCCAGGGATCGAACCCGGCTCTCCCGCATTGCGGGCAGATGCTTTACCATCTGAGCCACCAGGGAATCCCAACATTTTCTTAAGTCGGAATCCCAACATTTTCTTAAGTCTCACTCAGTGTTTTTACATTTACTTTCTACTGGTGACTGACGATAATCCCAAATGAGATTCCACCCTTGTAAGAGGCTACACCATAGTTTACATCTTGGCAGTCTGGGCGTTTGCTCTCTATTGGGTCTCTTGCTCAATTGCTAAATTGTGTCCGACTCTTTGTGACCCTATAGACTGGAGCGCCAGGCTTCCCTGCCCTTCACTATCTTCTGGAGTTTGCTCAGATTAATGTCCATTGAATCAGTGCTGGTATTTAACTTAACTCATCTGCCACCCTCTTCTTTTGCCTTCAGTCTTCCCCTGGGATGTCACTTTAGCCTTGTTCCTCCAGTCTGTGTCTTTACTGGTTCTTCCTCAGTGCTTCCTGGGTTTCTGTATACCTTAAAAGGTGAAGAAATACAGAATACTGGAGGAAAATTTATCTGTAGTCCAGTTATTCTGCCAGTGGTTGCTTTTTAAATCACTTTTATTTCCTTTTTGCAGGAATGTGTTTTGCCATATGCACAAATGTCTATTAAAGATGTTTATTAATTTAACAAGATAAGAATTTTTCTGTTACACATAATGTTTACAAACAATTTTAATCGCATTCTGTGGTGGGTGAAGAATACTTTATTGTAAGACATTTAACATTCCAATTTTTGCTATTAATAATACTCCATGAATATCTTTGCAGAAAGTTTTTGTTCCTAAGATAGTTTGTCAGCATTTGAAGACTTTCTACTTACATCCCAGGTTGCATTCAAAGAGACTCAACTAGTTCACAGATGGATGGGTTTTTAGCCTATGCTTGTTTAACAAATGTATAGAACTGTTTTATGTGCTAGGCATTGTTCTCAGCACTTGTAATATATGTGGACACACAGGCAAAAATTCCTACCCTTGTGAAGTTTGAGGAGGGAAGTGGGAGAAGAGAACTTTAAAAATTTTACTTGGGGGGTGTCAACTTTTTTATTTCACCAACATTCCCTGTTAATGGAAAAACAAATGCTACTTTGTTCTTAAATATAAAGTTGTGTGTAAAACCTACTTAAATCCATGTATTGGGGAGGGGAGGAGAAAGGGGTTGGGAATGATGCTCTAGGAATACGAAGGGTTATCTTGGGAAAATTTAAGAGAAATAAAAAGTCTCATTTGGCCAGGTGCTGTTACTGATTTCAGTTTTCTGATTAACTGCCTGTGCATCTGAACATTTCTCCATTGTTCACCTTTCGTTTTACATGATAGTAAAACGACAGAGGATGAGATGGTTGGATGGCATCACCGACTCAAGGACATGAGTTTGGGTAAACCCCAGGAGTTGGTGATGGACAGGGAGGGCTGGCATGCTGTGGTTCATGGGGTCGCAAAGAGTCGGACACGACTGAGCAACTGAACTCAACTGAACTGAACTGATTAATTGTTAAGGGGCTTCCCAGGTGTTGCCCGTGGTAAAGAACCTACTTGCCAGTGCAGGAGAGGTAGGACATGCAGGTTCAATCCCTTGGTTGGGAAGACTCCCTGGAGGAGGCAACCAGGCAACCCACTCCAGTATTCTTGCCTGGACAATGCTATGGACGGAGGAGTCTCATGGCCTACAGTCCATAGGATCGCAGAGTCGGACACCACTGAGCGACTAACACACAAGCTTTCAGATGAGTATGTGTGTGGTCTGTTACTTAAGGAGTTAGTTACTGGTACTGTTTTTACAGCCATCTGAATGGAAAGCTGGCAGATGCAAAAAATCAAAGGATCATAGGCCAACTCACTGTGCACCAGTTACTCTGTAACATTTGGGTATTACAAAAATGAGACAGTCATGCTTTGAAAGCTTACTATTTAGGAAGATAGGTTCTTAAACTTGGAACCCAAGAATCCCAGACGATGTTTGTTTAAAATGCAGTTTCTAAGGTTCTCCTCACCCACCAAAAGTCTTGATTCATTAGGGAGGGGCTGGAGGGCACTGGGATTTACAATTTGTTAGCTTTTCCTTTTGATTGCGGTGCCGCTGATGTGCATTGAGAAACGCTGTACAAATAGGTCCTGTAGAGAAATAAAAGAAACGTTAGATTTAATGTACTATCACTTGTAGGCCGGGAGAAGCACACACTGGGTCTAGTTTACGTAGAAATCTTGATCCTCAGCTCAGGAGCAGCCTCTAATCTCTAATAACCTCCTCCCCGCGCTGGCGCCCACGGGGATGGGGGTTGGTGAGCCAGGGGCGGGGTGTCCCTCCAGGTCAGAAGCCCGACTGAAGCGCCAGCTCCATCTATCGCCACCGCCGGAAGCTCCGCCCCCTCCCCCTGGGACCCGCCTCTACGCCGCTGGGGCCCCTCCAGGGCCACGCCCCTCGGCGGGCGGGTCACCAACGACGCCCGGGCCGGAAGTGACGACACCGGTGAAGCCTTTTGGGTGGGGCCTGGGCCATCAGCTCCAAAGGCCGCGATTTAACATCGGAAACAAAACAGCGGATGCTCGGGAAGGAACCTCGGCTGCTAGAGGCCGGTAGTGGTGGCGGCGAGGAAAGGGTAGGTGCCCGAAGGGGAGTTGGGGGTGACAGGAACGCGCCTCACATCCGGCGCCAGTACGGGCGGCTGCGGGCAGGGCCGGGCCCTTTGTCGCCGTCCGGGCCGCGGAGCCGGTGTCCTCGAGGATGAGGCGCGGGGCGCGGTCGGGCGGGGACCGAGGAACCCTGTGTGGGGAACCAGGAGGGGCGGCCCGTTTCTCCGGCGCCGGGCGCGGCGCGCAGTCCGGTGAAGAGAGAGTTCCCTCCTCAGCCTTGGCACGGAAATGCTGGTTTCCCGAAGACAGTTCAGGGCGCAGGTGCCTTGGGCGGGGATTGACCGTCTTGCCTGGAGTTGGAGCGGGAGAAAAGAGGAAGCGCCTTGCGCTGGGTCTTGTTGAGCAACTGGTGAAACTCCACGCCTCGTTCCCTGAGTGTGTCCTTGTCCGGGGGAAGAGAGTGGCACTCAGGGCTAATTTCCTTCTGTCTCAGTTCGAGGCGGAAAACACTGGGGTCTGATGCTTTTGCCTTAATCAGGACTGTCGCGAGGCTTATATGTCCAGTGCTTTGTCTGTATTTTAGATACTTGGCTTTTTGATCCCGCAGATTTCTTTCAAATAAGTATATGCTTCTCTGGTAGGAAAGTCACCTTAATAATTTTACAAGCGTTGTTTGCCTGCTTTGGACAAGCGGAATAAAGCGTTCAAGGTTTACTATGGGAGATAAGAATGGAAGGCAAATCACTATATGGCTGAGTACGTTGTAAAAGTCATAAGTATTCTCTCAAGTTTGAGGCAGGTGGAGAACATCTGGTTAAAGGCATCTTGTTACTTGAGTTACGTTTCACCGTGGAAAGGTTTTCACCCTCGGAGTAGAATTGAGGAGGGCATTATATCAGAGCGTGTACTACGAAAAGCGGCTCTCTGGATCCTAAGCGGCCGGTACCCAGTGTGCACTTTAAATCACTCTTATGAAGGAGGATAAAAACAGGAACGAGATTGGGAGCCGACTGCATTTGGCTGATACCAGTCACCTGCCAAAGCCAGTTTCAATTCTCCTTTAACTCATTTACAGAGTTCTGCCAACGTAAACCCCCTCCCACCTCCATTTAGTAACGAGCCCTTAACAATGAAAAAGAAGCTTATTTATTGAGTGCATGGATTTCCTCACTTCTTACCCTCCTCTCTCCAGAGAAAAGTAGATGATAGAAGCTGCATCTGTCGTCTGTTTTTACATTCGTTGGCTCATCTTCCTTGGGTAAATAGTTATCACAACTCTGGGCAAACTTTCCTCTGGGTGGATATGGCCTGGTGCTGAATTTTAAGTTAGTGGCTCCCTCTGGTCCTAGACTGCTGCGTGACTTTCCATTTGGGGAGAACTGGGGGATTGGAGTTGGTCTCTGAGAATCATTCCAGCAGGAAAGATAGAAAGTTTGTCTGTCAGCAAGGCTTTTGTGGTCCCCTTCCCCTCCCTCAGATCCAGGTTCCCTCAGCTGCTGCTCTCCCACTGCTTTACCTCAGATTTCAGGGGAGACTTGTTTCTTTTGGAAGTATTCTGAAAAATTTATAGTGCCTCTCCTTTGTGTGATCAATGCCAGGCAGATTTGGAAGGTGTTTTGAGCTTTGCTCTTAATAAGTTTTGTGACAAGAACTTTTCCTTAGGTACATAAGGTCTAGAATGAGTGAGAGATTTGAGGTGACTTTTGCATGATCCGGGTGAGATATAATGAAAATTTGGTGGTGACAGAGGCTTAGAAAGGAGGAAAATATGACGGTCAATTGAGAAGCAAGAAATAAAATGTGAAGTTGACTAGGAGGCTTTGTTTGGAAAATGGGGGAAACAGACATAGGAATAAGAAAGCTAAGAGTAAAGGAGAGTCTGGAAGAGGAGAAATCAGTTTGGAAGTATCACTTTTCAAGTGCCAGTAGTTGAAATATCCCGTGGACAGGCCTGGAGCTGTAAACGTGTGTCCCTTAAATAGCCTTACCAGTTGACTTTGGAACAGTAGAGGAGAAGCCTAAGAAAAGGAGGGAGACAAGGAGGCCCAGGCAGAGCCTAGAAACACTTATAATGAGAGGGTGGAAGAGGATAAGGAACCAGCTGAGGGGAATGAGTGGTGGGAGGAGAACCTCCATGGTGCAGTGTCACTGAACTGAGGAAGGGAGGGAAGCTTCAGGAAGGAAAAGGTTGTCAGGGATTTTCAGTATTAAGCCTGTTTGTCGGAGAAAGAACTGAAGCTTTAGAGCAGCACTGTCCAATAGAAACATCATGTAAGAGCTACAAAGGTCAGTTTTAAGTTTTCTGATGAGCAAATTTTTTTTTCCAGTTATTTTTATTAGTTGGAGGCTAATTACTTTACAATATTGTATTGTTTTTTGCCATACATTGACGTGAATCAGCCATGGATTTACATGTGTTCCCCATCCCGATCCCCCGTCCTGCCTCCCTCCCCATCTCACTTGATGAGCAAATTTTTTAAAGGTAGAAATAGGTGAAAATAATTTGAATAATGTATTTTATGTAACTCAGTACAGCTGAATAATTTTATTTCAGCATGTTATTAATGTAAAAACATTCTTGTCTGTCTTCCCCTCTAGATAGTAAGTGCCTTAAGTGACCAGAAGCATCATCGGATGCACTAGCACCCCTCGTACCTGCCACAGTGTGTGGTTGTGTAGAAGAATCCCAACAAGTGTTGATTAAAGGGTATTAATGTTTGACTATGCCTTGTACAGGTCCTTAAGGTGATCTAAAGCGAACAAGAGAATGCATTGCTGAGAATAGTCAATGATTTACAAATTAACTGTGAATAGTCCTTTTCTTTGTTAAAGATTAGTTGTGTTCTGCCATTTCCACAACAAATTTTCCACAATGACTCATTTTAATTACATCTTTAATGTAGAGTTACTGAAAGGAAATTTGAGAGGAAAAGAATCTCTTTAACTATATAAGTAATAATATAGGACCATGGTCCCATATCCACAGTTCTCAGGTCAAAAGCTCCTAAATCATTTGACGGCAAACTCTAACCTGAACCTCTTTATGTAATTTAAGACTTCCTGTATATTTCACTACATATTTATTAGTGTGTTTGATTTTGTGGCTCTATCTAGTACCCTGGGGGAGCATTATAAAACATGGCATTTGCCTCATGTTGTAGTGCTGGAGACCTGGGTTTGATCCTTGGGTTGGGAAGATCCCCTGGGGAAGGGAAAGGCTACCCACTCCAGTATTCTGGCCTGGAGAATTCCATGGACTGTATAGTCCATGGGGTCGCGAAGAGTCGAACACGACTGTGCGACTTTCACTTTGACCTTTACAGAATCCGAAAAATATATAAATTCTAAACCTGTTTAGTCCTAAGGGTTTCAGATAAAGGATTTTAGGTTTATGTCTTTGTTCATTTTTTATTGCACCTTCTGAGCCCACATAACCATTATTATTTAAAGACAACCATGATAACTCTACATAGTAGACCTCCCCCAAACTCAGTGCCTTAGAGCGTTAGCTCTCACTCTTCTTAAAGGTGACTGCTTGGGCAGTTCTGCTTTGCCCTTGTTCTGGGCCCCAGGCTGAAGGGGCAGTGACTACCCAAATAAGTTCTTGAGGGAACAGTAGGAGTACAGAAAGGCAGGGCCCCCTGCGCAAACACAGTTTAACTGTTTGTGCTGCATCTGCCAAGATTCCATGACCAAAGGAAGTTGTCAGGTTGAGCCCAAAGGCATGGAGTGGGTAGGAGACTGCACCCACCTTGAGGCCAAAGCAACTCACAGAGCCAAGCTCAACATCCTTTCTTGGGCATGTTGGGGGAGGGAGTGAATATATGCTGAATAATAATCTAATCTACCACAGATGGTTCACAGTAGAGTGGGAAGGAAGGAAGCAGGGGGAAAAAAAATCACCAAATTGGATGTATCACTATGCTTGCTCTTTTTAGGGTCTGTCACTTTCACGAAGCCTCTTGTGGGACTGGGGAGCTTATTTGCTCTCTAATCTCTTAAAATTGAGAGTCTTTCTAGGCTGTATTCCTGACGTTTTAGATTAATTTCAAATTATTAATTTTAGTTTGTTACCTTGGGATGTAGTGAGAGACAGAAGCATACTTCTCTGTTGGTGTGTCCCTAAATGAATTTTTAATAAGCTTCTTTTGGGGATTTCAAGCATTGGTCCTGTGATACTTTTTAAAATGCTGATGGATAGAAGGTTTTCTGGTTAGATAGATTTTTCTGTTCAGCACATTTAAACTTCGAGATTATTTGTATTCTCCTGGGGCTTCTAGTCTTCATGTATAATAGAAAGAAATTATAACTGCCCATCAGAAAAGGATTTCTTTTTCCTTTTATCTGATTGAGCAAGTGTTTTGAGAAAAAAGGAAATGGATAGCAGTGAATTCAAGTGTTGTGCTTTATCAGTCTCAAAAAATCTTTAGCAGATGGCCAGAGAGAGAAAACACCGAAATCCACTTAGATCCCTACTCCCACTCCCTCTGCAATTCAGGTCATGTGAAAGATCCCCACTTCCCAACAACTGTCTTTTCTTGTTCTCAGGGCACTATTCATAATGTTATAAGGTCCAGTAGTGTCTTTTTGCCACACTGCTGGGACAGTGGGTCATTGGCCTTCTCCATGCAGTCATCAATTGTTTTCAGCTGTTACTGGCCCTGAATCAAATCTAGCTTTGCCTGCCCCTTTCTTTGTACCAACAATGTTTGTTTGTTCTCCAGGCCTGACTGGAGACCTAGCTAGCCCTGTTGCCTACCTCCACTTCCTACTGAGCTCCATATAATGGGTAGTTCTTCCAGGAAGTGTCACCCTGCAGCATTGTGATCTTTAATGCATCGGTGGAGGCATGAGCTTTCTTCAGGTGAACTGGCAAAAGACCTGGGCTGGGTGGGTGTCAGAATATTTGGCTTCTGGAATTGCTGTTACTTGCCCTATAATTGTACACCGGCAGATTCTTTCACCTTTCTTTAGCCTTAGTGCTTTACATGTAAATATAGATGTATCTTAAATACAGTTGTCCTTTGGTGGGGGGCGGGGATGGAGGACAAGTGCTTTCAGGACTCCCACCAAGCGCCCCCCCCCGCCCCGCCCCATGGTTAACAGAATCCTTGGATGCTCAAGTCCTTTATATAAAATGGCATAATATTTGCATATAATCTATACACATCCTCCTGTATACATTAAATTATCTCTAGATTACTTACAATACCTAATATGAATGAAAACACCTTTTCCAGTCCTGTGGCTACTGCTGAGTTTTCCAAATTTGCTGGCATACTGAGTGCAGCGCTTTCACAGCATCATCTTTTAGGATTTTAAATAGCTCACCTGGAGTTCCATCACCTCCACTAGCTTTGTTCATAGTGATGCTTCCTACAGCCCACTTGACTTCACACTCCAGGATGTCTGGCTCTTGGTGAGTGACCACATCATTGTGGTTTTCTGGATCATTAAGACCTTTCTTGTATAATTCTTCTGTGTATTCTTGCCATCTCTTCTTAATCTCTTCTGCTTCTGTTAGGTCTTTAACATTCATGTCCATCCTTGCATGAAATGTTCCCTTGACATCTCCAATTTTCTTGAAGAGATCTCTAGTCTTTCCTGTTCTACTGTTTTCCTCTTATTTCTTTGTCTTGTTCATTTAAGAAGGTCTTCTTATCTCTTCTTGCTATTGTCTGGAACTCTGCATTCAGTTTGGTATATCTTTTTCTTTCTCATTTGCCTTTAGCTTCTCAATGAGATAGTCAGCTTTTAAAAATCTAGAAGCATAGGTCAGAACATTTGCTTTCAATACTTTGAGAATACAACTGTTCTGCTGGAATCCACCTCCTATTTGGGTAAGCTAGCATACATGTTGCGAAACCCTAAATATAGGTTTAAACCTTCAAAAATCTATTTGACTTTTGAAATTGAAGTATATAGAAATGTGCACATATCATAGGTATAGAGCTCAAGAGAATTTTCAGATTGACACCTCTGTGTAACTAGCACCCAGATCAAGAAACAAAACATTACCAATAACTCCAGAAGCTTCCTGTGTACCTCCTTCTGGTGATCAATTCCCATAAAAGTAACCATTGAGTCTACTGTTAATTTTAATTAATTTTATTTTTAAAATAATTTTATTTATTCATTTTATTTTTTAAAACAAATTAATATTGTATATTTTAGGCAGAATTATCTCATTATATAATTACATCTTTTTTAGTTAATATTAATTTGCAATCTTTTGATCTCACACCAGCTTACTATGGGCTGAAGTTGGAGGGGAGGCTAAAAGTGGGCACAGGATTTAAAAGCATGTAAGATAGGGACTTCCCTGTTGGTCCCGTGGTTAAGTAGTTGTGTCTTCACTGCAGGTGGCATGGTTTTGATCCCTGGTGAGAGTATTAAGACCCCAATGCCTCATGGCATGGCCCTCCAAAAATAAATGGGATAGAAAAGAAAGCATACCTTGATTATGAATTTGTCATGATTTAAATGATCCAAATATAGGTGATAAGGGTTAATTGGAAATCAATACCTTTACTAAAGGAAAAAGTTGTTTTATGTGGTTTTTTATGGAAAAAATCATTAGAATAAGAAAGCAAAAAAAAAAAAGCAGAATAATATTTAGAGGATAGAAGATCCTGAAATGAAACGACATTGACAATGTGCTTTCATATAAGTATGTACATGGCAATGTTTTAGACGCTTTAAATTAATTAGAATATTGCTTAGGTATGCAAACCATTTTTTTCTTGTTTTGCATTTCTGAAGACTTTGAATGAAAAGCAAAGTTGAAGTCCTAAGGAATTGGCTGATGGACATTCAGGTACCTAGACAGGCACATGGGAGGGTGAAGTCTGGGAGACAGAGTAATGTGTGTGAGCAAGGCGATGTGAGGAGGCAAAGGAGAGGCTGGGGGTCAGGAGTCTGTGGTTTTGGTCCTGGTCTGCCCAGTTGAATGCTTTTAATCAAGTCACTGAACTTGGGTCTCCTTCTGCTTTTGTAAAATATATATGTTACCTAGTTCTGCTGACTTGGAGCATTGTGGTAAAGGAAAAAATGAGATGATAAAAATAAATTAAAAGCACAAAACATAATTTTATGGTGATATAAATTAAGGTGGATCGGAAAAGGAATGTTGACAAGAACATTCTTTAAGATCACTTAGCACCCTTTGCTCTAGATCTGAAATTATTAGATATGATAGTGATTGAAAATATTTGGTTTCTCAAGCAGATCTGCTCATTACCAAAAAGTAACTTGAGCTGACAGAAGTTTGTCAACTGAAGGTCTTGGCATAGTAATGCATTTCTGGTTTACAAATTAGTCTTGTAAGTGTTTAATTGGTGTGAATGGATTTACTAGAACTTAACCAACTCTGGGTAACCCAGTAAAATCTGTTCCAGACCTAATCCAGGAGCCAGCAAGTGACAGCAGCCTGTGAGGTGCTTAGAAAGCGTGCCCTGGAGGAGAACACATGAAAGAGAGGTTTGTTTTTGCTGAAAGTCATTTGTGAAAGTGTTTCAGAATAAAAGTATAATTGTAACGCACAAAAGATTGTTTTCTTTTTCCCTTTTTCAGAACCCCAAGAGGCTCTGTTTTCTGTGAAAAAGTGTATCTATACAGTTGTTCCAATGACAGAGTTACCCGCACCCTTGTCCTACTTCCAGAATGCACAGATGTCCGAGGACAACCACCTGAGCAATACTGTGCGTAGCCAGGTACAGTGTCAACCTCTGCAACTACCCTTTCAGACTGTGGATTCGTTGACTACCCTCCCTCACCTCCAGGAGAGGCACGGGACTGAGCAGGCTTTGTCATCTGTACCAAATTTACATATTTGCTGAACTTCAAGTAAGGGAAAGCACTGTCCCGTTTGGTGCAGGGCACGCAAGGCTGCGTGAGTCTTGATTGTTGATACAGTTCCTCCCTGGCTCAGACATCACCTCCCTTTTTGATGCCTTCTCCAACTTCCCCAGCTGGTTATTACTCTGCCTAGCTTGCTCTTACTCTTCTGTGGGCTGAGTACATTTTATTTGCTTTTAGTTTTTTAGTGCCTGGCCAGCCTGGTTCTTGACGGTGCTCAGTAAGTGCTCCTGGACAGAGTGATGAATGCAGGGCTGAGTGTAGCAGTCCTGGGAGAGGTCAAAGAGAGAAGAAGGAAAGGGACGTAATCTGTGCGTGGAACGCAGCGCCTCGGCAGCTCCACACACGGACCAGAGCTGCCTGCTCCTCTGCTAGCTAATCATTACATGTTGAAGGCAGAGTTCACAGATGGCCTATGAGACGACTGGGGCGGCGGTATTATTTTTAGGGGTGGAGCCAGAGTGGGGAAAAACACAAGGCCAACTGTAAGCCGTATAGGCTGCAGGGGGTGGGGAGCAGGGCCAAGCTTTCCCCTGTGCGAACCAGAGGGCAGAGCCAGTGGTGGAAGGAAAGAGGTTCTGGATCAGGAAAGAGAAACTTGCTCGCAAGTACTGTATGTCTGAAAGAGCATGGACTGTCTCATGGGCGAGTGTGTGCATGTACTAAAAGCAGCCACAGAAGCTGGAGGACTCTCCGGCAGATCTGCAGAGGGTTAGTTCATGTACTGAGCGGCAACTACAGCACTGGGTGTCCAGAGATTGAGAATTCAGTTAAGGGTATAATGTGGGAGGAAGGCTTCCCAAAGTACACTTCCATGGGTGCTTAGGGTTCGAGTATAGCCAACTGGGAAGCCATGACTGGTGGAAGAAGAGCTGTCCTACAGTGTAAATCCACGGGGGCTCTCTCTGGGGACATCGGAAGCAGATCACACTGTATTGTTAGAGCATTGTAAACAAGTGAGATCAATTTAAAATGAATATCAAGGGAAACCCTGAAAGAGAACACCTGAGGGGTTGATGGGGATGGAAGAGGGGCTGTTGCCCTTCGTGTCTGGGTGGATGGTTAATAAGCAGTGTTCTGACAACACACTTGCTTCACTGCTGTGTGTCAGCAGCTTGACTTTCTCCTTTTTGCTGTTCCCCAGGAATGGCCTTTTGAAAAGTTAGACTGGGCTGAATTAGAAGGTTCTTGGGGTACGGCTGTGTAAGTTTGGATGCTGCAGGCTTTCTACTCATTTTCAAACTTATTTCAGAGAAGAGAGAAGAAAAGTGGGAATCGCAGACTTGGGTCTCCTTCCTTAGCCAGAGCTGCTCCTGTTTTGTCTGTTTCACATACCGATCTTCCATGTATCCCTTTAAACAAAAGAATCCACAACTAACAAGTTAAAAGCCACTCGTCCGCCCTCAGGAGATGAAACCAGCATACTGAGTGTCTTCAGTGTGCTGGACTGCTACTCGGTGCTCTCACAAACATGCAGCTTTAGGGCCTGGCATTTTGGGGACATTTATCATAAATGAGCAAGTTTTCCTTCTGTCTTCCCCTCTTTTGAATAGCTCTATTAAAGTACTTACCTATATGACTATCTTTAGAGTACACAAACATGCAATTTTACACTAGATATTACAGAAAGAAAAGAATATTCATTTACAAATATTTTTGAAGCTGAAGAGTGAGTGAATAACTTCCTTACAGACTAGGTAAATAGGTTAATTATCCTTTCCTTTTAAAAATGAAAATCATTGTATGTTTTTCAACTAAAAATAGTCTTAAAGGGACTTGCCTGGCGGTCCACTGATTTAGACTAGGCACTTCCAATGCAATGGGTGTGGGTTTGATTCAATCAGTGTGCTGCATGGCATGGCCAAAAAAAAAAAATGTTTAAAAGAAATATTCAGCAGGCCTGAATATGAAAATAAAGTTTTCTATATCTTATAAAGATAGACTGAACTGAAGTAAACTATCTTAGAAATTTCTGTGTAGTCCAGCTAATGTTCAGCTGTTCCATTTATTGTTTTATGTCCATACAATAAAAGCCCGACAAGGAAAAGATGGGTGATTTGGGTGATTTTCCCTTGTTTTTTCCACGTGTTCAATAATACAGTAATCTCATAATTTAAAAAGAGATGTATTTTTAAAGAGGAAAATTTTTGGATGTGAAGGAAGGTCACAAGAGGAGAATATGCTAGGTGGGGAATATCTGTAGAAAGGAGCAAAAGCCTTCAAGGTTCCCATGATGACTGACTGAACAAACAGTAGTGGGGAAGTGAGAGCAACTGATGTCAAAGAAACCGGAAAAGCGTGATAGCCTGAGGTCTTGGTCATTGGAATTTATATTCTGTCCTTGCCACTGATAAAAGCTTCAGTTGTGTTTGTCAGTTTCCATTTAAAAGACTGAAATGTTTACCGTGCTTTATAAAGAGGTTTCATAAAAATACTGACTTTGGACTGAAACTTTAAGCAAATTTTCATTTTCTAGAAAACTAGCCCATATAAAACATCTTAATTCCTGCTCGTAACAAATGAGAGGAATTACATTGTTTTCACCTTTTCAGGTTTTAGTTTTCAGTTTTGACTTTTTTATGCTTGTTAGCCCTACTAGGTTATAAAATCTCTAAAGCCAGAACCTTATTCATGTTTCTGAGCTGACTTTAGAATTTAATGACCAAGTGTCTCTAAACCAGTTCAGTACAAATCTCCCTGCCAAAGAACAAAGAGGTTTTGGGGTTTTTTTGTCACATTAGCAAGAGAAAATTTTAAATTTTGTTTCTGCAAATAAAAATCTGAAGTGAATCTCAGTTGCATAAGGACTTCATCTTTTGTGTGAGAGGGTGCCCTGTTCTCTAGACCCACTCCTTGGCCATCACATCACTGCTCTTGACACCATGTGATTATCTACACTGCTGTCACCATGTGGGGCAGAGCTCCAATTTTTATGTAGAACAGCTGTCAAATGATAGTTTGGCATGTCATGAGAACCAAGTGGAGAATCCATTTTATTTATTTCTCTCTCAAGAATGCGTGTCCTGCTTCAACCAGAAATGTTAACTGCTTTCCATTAGTTTACGCACCACCTCTGCTGGAAGCTAGAGTGGACCTCATGTTTTTGCTGTTGGTTGGCGATGTCTAGAGGGACTGGAGACTGGAAGGTAGACTGACTAGATAACTCAAGTGTTTTTGACGAAGGGCAAAACTTGTACGCTGTTAAATAACTGAAGTTCTTTGTTTTCTATTTAATTTTGGCTGCACTGGGTCGTCATTTGCTGAGCACTTCTCTAGTTGTGAGCACAGGGCTACTCTCTAGTTGTGATGTACAGGCTTCTCATTGCAGTGACTTCTCTTGTTTTGGAGCTAGGTATGAGGGTTTCAGTAGTTGTGGCATACAGGCTCAGCCCCATGGCATGTAGGACTCTTCCTGGACCAAGTTGGTAGGTGGATTCTTAACCATTGAACTGCCTATTAATTTGTAAAGTTTTATTTTCTGGTGCAAAATTTTGATGGGTAGAGTTCATGTTTTGATTTGATATAAACTTACATCCCTTATCATGGATTAGCTGAGGCCTTTTTGCTTTTCTGAGATACAAAGAAGTGATTTTTTTTAAAGTAAGTCTAAAATTAATTTATATTGTTAATTAAGCCTTTTAAAATATGTTACAGCAGTGATTTTCAAATTGGAGTCCCCTGGAAGAATTGTTAAAACAAATTCTCTGGCCCGAATCCCAGAATTCCTGATTTTGTAGGTCTGGTATAGGGCCAGAGATTTTGCATTTCTGACTACTTCCCAGATCCTGCCAATGCTTCTGGTCCAGGGACCATAATTTGAGAGCCACTGTATTTGAATAACGATTTAAAGGGAAGGTGACCTTGAAGAAAAGCAATTAGATTTATAAATTGAATATTCAATATTTTAATTCTCATTAGTTTATTCTGACCCAAATTTTCTAGTCCTTAAGGCAATTAATTGTCAGCAGCCTTTTTGATTTAGAATAGAAAGAAAAAAAATCAGTTATTTGCCAACTAAAAAAGAAGTCTTAAAGTATAAATTCATTAAAAGGTCAATGATAATACTCTAAAGCAATTGCTGAGGAATACATGCAGATTGTTACCTTCAGCTCTGCTAAATTTACAGCATTAAAATGTGTCTGGTCTTTATAAACAAGGTCATTTGCAGTATCTTTTCTGAATTCAGAAGACTAAATGCAGAGAACTTTATTAAGTTATTAAGAAATCATAAGCTGGTAGAACTAACCCTCTCATTTTCTAGATGATGGAGGGTCACTTTTTTAAAGTGTGAGAAATCTTACGAAATTAAACAGAATGCAAACATAGAAGATGTTTAAAGGTGATTAAGTACTTGGGACCTTGAGAAAAAAATAAGTGAAAGGCGTGATCTAAATTTAAGCTGAATGAGGTTCACAGGCTTAGTCAGTCAGCCTTTGGATGATGATATTGTCCTGTTCATGGTAATGAATTGGTTTTCCTTCCCACTTATATCAAAATGAAGTGAAGAGAAAACAGAACTTAAAATCTTGGGGTGACCTCCAGAAAAACATGCTTGTTTTTGCATGAGAGTAAGTCAGAGGTCTTTGGCACAGATCTTAATAGTTTGTTTTAAAAAAAAAAAACAAGCTCTAGGTTCAAGCCACACATAACAGCACCATAAATGTGTAATATTATCTCTCACCGGTTATGTCAACTGTTCAGGGAAATGACAGCCTTCCTTGATGATGGAGTACTGGTTAAAGCCCTAACTCTGGGCAATCTCAAAGCTTGGGCAGGTGCTGGATAGAATTCTGCATGCTGTTGGAAACATTGCGTATGATTAATAAATATTTTCAAGTTTTCCACTTCACTTGCC